TGCGAAGTACTACATGAATTTGCACATGTGCACTGTACATGATGTCATCTGCGACTTCAAGTTTCCGGGTACTATTCTGCACCAGTCTACCCGAGCTCCTCACGGGTAGCATGGGTACCCGGCTACCTGTGCACACGGCTAATTCTGAACTCGGATTGTGAGCCAATTTAACCATGGCAAAAAAAGATTAGGGGTAAAAAAAAGAATATTTTGGTCACCCATTTATCAACACAACACCAAAAGGAGAAGAAGACAACAACGGATGGAAAGCGGCGAAATAACCGCTTCTCACCACGAGTTACTAGGCATGGATGGGAGGGATCTTGATCGGCGATCTGGTCTCAGGAACTGCCCTAATTCCTACTGTTTCGAATGAAGGCATCACCAGTAATAATGGTTTTCACATCTCACTACCAGGATAACGAAGGGAACATAAGATACACCCACTATTCTGCTACAGCCCTGCTTGCTTCAAGGTTTCCAGGGAGAGGAGCCACAGGAGAAGGGATTGTGTCATAGTATACTAGAAGGTGACAGAGCTGGCGAGAGATAAGTTGCGGCAGCTTCAGAGGCAACTTGACAATGTGCATTCCTTGCTGGAGGTTCGACAATGTGTAGTTTTTCTCCCTTTTGGTCTAAAATCGAGAGCAGTATATCCCTTTCTAAGGGCGAGAGTGGAAGTTGCGTTGCAACTCCGAGTTTCCAGCAATCAGGATCACACGTTGCCTAATGATCCTGACTGCATGAGACTCCGAGTTGCAACACAGCTAGGCATTTTCCAAACCGGCCGGTCGAAAAATTCGCCGCAAACATTGGCTATGAAAAGATTTGCCGAATACGCAATTTTCGAACTAAAATCGCCGCAAATCGATGCTTTAGTGCCTCAACAGAATGCAAACATTTAACGTGTCAACAAGAGCAATTGCTCCTCCGTAGATCGGTTTCTGACAAAACCGAATTGGGCCCTGCTGATATAACGAATGTCATGGACGAAATCACGTAGATCATCCGCCAAGATTCGTTCAAATAATCGAGGCACGATTTTGAGCAGGGAAATTGGCCTGCTACGGCGAGTTCTACCCTGGTGCAATGGTCACTCAACATGAATCATGACAAAACGGAGTACACTCATTTTGTTCTCTCTTTTTGCTTTGACTCTTCCTTCATGGTTTCACGCGACTGGCCCAACTGGTGTTGTCAATAAACCCGTTTGTTACAAAAGCACCAGTTCTCCAGTGGGAAAGGCATTCTCGCTTATGACATTGTATTCGTTGCAATGTTGTAACTCGACTCCGCCGTACCGCTGATTTTTGCTGCATGGTATACGCTATATGCGCTATGTGTGATTTACTGTATACACTGTCATGTCATGCTATATATGTGTACGCTTTTCTGATATACAGTTTCCTCTGAGACAAAAATGCGATAATACTCATAAAAAGGACACACTTCAGGCTCATTACAAACATCTTGAAAGTTTTTGTCTTCACAAGTATACTTTCAAGCCTTCTCGTCAGGTGAAATACAGGCAAGGGAAAAGGAACAGGAACAGTGGATTAAATACAGTAAGAAGGTGGTAAAACAGCGCAAAAAAAGAAAGAAAGAAGATAGCTAAAGTAAACAGCGAAACTTGCAATAATGACACAAAGGTGCAAATGCGAGAAAACTCAATAAGCGTGACATGTAATGCGACAACAAGAGACAACCACTGGACATACATGTAACTATCGAGGTTTTGACAACCTACCCAACAGTGTGAATTTGATTTGTTTCTGCTTGCAAAGGTTGGGTTTCTTTGTGTGGATGTATACAGCTTCCAAAACATTCAGCAATCTATCAGTACGGGTGAAAGATCCACACAGGCCCAAAAAAGACCAAAATGAAATTTGCAACGTGATATGAGCAGTGTTCCTCTGCCATTAAACATCAATGATCAGTCCTCTGTCTTGTACAATGGCGAAGGGTCGACTAGAATCGACAATCCAGTCGATGGGCGACTCCGTCAACATGCCTGAGCGCCTGCTGTCGCACGTTTCCAAGTTAGCTGTGCCGAAAAACGACGTGACGTGCTTCATTCCAGCACTGGTCGTCGCATTGTCACTGCGCTCAACATTGCTGGTAGTTGTCGTTGCTGTCGACTGGGTTGCTGGTCCTTTCCCTACCGCTGCGGCGTACTGGTCTTTATGAGCAGAAATCAGGTGCTGTAACAAGTTGGTTGTGCCGCTTTGACGGACAAACTCGCGGCTGCACAAATTGTATCTCGCTACGCTACCAGCTTCCTCGAAGTATGCCCAAACTGGCGATCTCTTGGTCGGACTAACTTTCGTTTTTACAGGCGGCAGCATTGTCACTGCTCTCCTCGCCAAAACTCGAAACTAACTGTAAGTTTTTGCCAAGAACTGAACAAATTAGAAGGCCGGCAGCCACACTCACAGTTTCGCTACAACCTAATTAATATGAAGCTTTCCGGTTGTTACACTTTCCGGTTACGCTGACTAGTGCAGTGAATGCGCGGGATGTAGCTCTTCGACTACGATCGAGTACCAAAAATAATCAAGCGCGCAGTGATTGTACGGACCTATGGCTTCATGCACGTGTACTTCGACGTTCATGTACTTGTTGCATGACCTGATGACGCGCGTGCATGATGCCATATGCATCGTCTGCATGTACTGACATCATGACGCTCTCGCACTGTGCAGTCATAATTGTTATCGATCATAATGATTATCGATTTCACCCATAACGAGTGATATACGAGTAATCAGTATAATCGTTTCGGACCTAATTGTTCAACACAGTTTTCCGCATATGAATCAGTGAGATTTTGAGTTTTAGGTATGCTATCTAACTCAATTTGACCAAAAATACCAATAGCACCCTTTTCTCGGCCTGAGGCTCATTACATGTATGTACTCTTTGTGTTTGAACCTGGCTGGTGGTCTAGAGCGAGACGAATGTCTACATCAGATTCATAATTGCGACTCCAATGCTGCGTGTACCAACACGGTTGGGTCCTACAACTGCATATGTAACTCTGGGTTTTACGGTGACGGCACATCCTGCAAAGGTATGTTACACTTTTTATCGGTATGATAATGTGGTATGCCAAATAGAGCTTCAACGGACTGGTTTTGTTCTGGCAACTTCAGTTGCGCTCCGTGAAATCCAGCCAATAGTGCACCTTTGGCAGCCTCAACTTGTATGGCCTTTGACGCTCTGGAAGCGGCATGAATGCATCTGGACGTACATAGGGTCCAGCGTATAATGCCGGCATTATATTCGACGTTATGAGACTATTAGAGCATCAGAGCATTATGCAGCATTATATTCAACCAAAACGAGCATTGTGTGATGTTTTAGCGGCATTACAAATTGCATAGTAGATAATTATTTTGAAATCCATGTTCTTCTTTTTCTCAACAATCTGCTATATGCAGTCATGAGATCCAGCCCTCGCCGTGTCGGAAATGCGTAAATCTACGGTTGGGAGCGCAATGTACCATAGACCTTTCTCACAATGTGCACGTGACCTGAGGCCCACGGCGCAGCGTAAGGCAAAATAATTCAAAAGATGCACTGTTTCTGTACTGAAAGCTATTAGAATTTAGTTGTTTGTGGATAATGTGAGCCAGAGCACGCTAAAATATGACCACAGACCAAAAATTCGATTTTCAGTTTTTGTTCAAAGATGATCTAACACACCTAATGTTCACTGTCTGAACGTTTTGGATTGATTGGACATATCTAAGTGTGGCTACAATGGTATTATATGGAGCACTGTTGAAATGGTGAAATTCTATGTACAGCAATGGGATTGTCATTTTTGCACACAATTGATATGCCCCTAGGTTCATCCTTTCCGGGTCAGTTCCTCTGTCCAGGGTCTTATAGCATGAGCTGACAGGTACTCAGCCACATCCAAAATATCAAATAGTCTATAGGCAGCTGAGCTGAGTGTCCGAAATACCTCCTCTTTGGAGCACCACTGGAGAACCGCCAGCAAAAACACGGTCAACATCTGTAGATGGCCGAAGAAGTTGGCACTCCATGTCCTCTCCATCACACTCCACCTGTACTTTTAGATATACAGTATACATTGCTGCGCACAGTTTTCCTCGACATACTAGACGTCGCACTCATATTCCCCACACCGAAGCCCATCTGCACACGGTTTTCTCTGCTCGCCAGAGAGTACTGCTTTCGCTGCATACTGCTCATGCTAGCGATGTTCCACATAAGGGTACTCAAATTATCGACTTGAGCAAGTTGAGGGAGCAGCAGAGTCCATTGATTGTTTTTGCACTTGCAACCAATACTGGCATTGTGCCGGATATGTGCAGCGATGTCCATTCTGTCCAAATCATCGGCCGACTCACCTCCCAAGTCAGTGTCGATGCCAATCGCTTGCCAGGTTGTCATCAGAGTAGAATTCCTCGTCACCGCAGATCGTGGGACTACCAGCATCAATTATTTTTACGCTCAATGAAAGTGTCGCCCTCAAATAACTCGTCGCTGTAGCCATCATCGTCTTCCTTCTGTTTCTGACCCGAATCCTCAAAATATTTTATCCTGCGCATGGAGTGCGATGATGTCGTCTTCTTCCGCACCGCAGTACATTACTACTACTAGGCTCTTCTGTCGATACATCGATGACGATCAGTTTTAGGCTACTCAGCGCAACATGGAATACATGGAATACAAACTCAAACAAATAAACTTACTTGCAACAAAGAATTGCATCCGGAACAGTCCAGTCGACCGAGGAGAACAACAACAACGACACGCGTTGCCCTGCACTTCGTATTTTTTGCCGCTGAATTCAAATCGCGATTATCTCGACTTTTCCAAAAAAAGCTATGGTCATGTTTTAGCGCGCTCGGGCTCATGTTTTGTTTCTCTCGTCGTTTTGAAGGCCGTGTAGGTGTTTGGAGTTATTTCCTCGGTGTTACCAACCGTGCCGTCGTCCTGCGCTGTGGACGGCTGTGCAAATCGTGCTTCAGCAGACTGTCCTTACCGCTTTTTTAGATTTCCAGAATCAGAACGGTGTCAGATGTGGATAGCTTCAGTTTGCAAAAACTATTTTGCAGCTGACAACGTATTGTACTGCATCGTTCAAGCCAAATGTTTCGCTGAGGATCCTGAGCTGATCAAGCAAGGTCAACCATTGAAGGCTGGGTCGATGGTGTATCATCTTGCACTGTTTCTGGATGAGCGTGGGGTGCTCAGAGCCGGGGGGACGACTCCACTACAGCGAGTTGGCGCATGGAGCCAAGCACCCAGTTCTAATAGGCAAACATCATCTGACCGTGTAGCTGTTGGAGAAAATGCACGTCGAAAGCATGTACCGAGGTGTAGAAGGGGTCTTGTTGTACATCCGTCAGAAATTCTGGATTATCGGCATTACTCAGTGATGTGTTATATGCCGTCGCTACAAGGCTAAGGCAGCCTCAGAAGTCTGCCCGTCGCTGCCAACAGACCGAGTCGTTCACGAGAGGCCGTTCGCAACTACCGGCATCGACTATGCTGGTCCGTTGTACGTTCGACGTGGTGAGTCATCTCCGAAGGTATTGATAGCTTTGTTTGTGTGTGCCACCACCAGAGCAGTTCAACACTGTCTGACCCATGGGTACATGGACGCTGGAAAGTTATAATTCCAGACAAGAAAGTACTTCCCGCTTTCTATGCCGGGGTTTCTAGCATAATCCGACTTCAAGTGGGTGAAAATTTGTTCCATTTATGTACAAGAAAAGATTCGAGTGAGTATGATTCGGATATACCTGGGATTGGTGAATGAGTGTTTTAAATAGGTATTTTGAGGTCAAGACAATCTCCTGATGATCAAAATATATGCAGCAACTTCTTGAGAATCCAATATGCTATCAGGGATCGATTTACTTTGATTTTTTTTCCATACCAGTCACTGCTACACAGTTTTGCAATTGACTAGCAACTCCCAGTATTGATTAGCAGTTTTCCTTCATCAAAAGTGTATAATCATGTATATCTGTACGATAGCAGGATTTTGTACAGAAGTGGACAATAGCTGCTGTTGCTATTTGCTTTTCCAAGCGAACGGTTGACATGAATATTTACGTCAGGGTTTTGTTACATGTTCAGCGTTCACCCGACTTGTTAGTTCATCACAACACAGTATCCTTCAACAGGGTAGTTACACTGATTCCTTCGACAAAGAACGCTCAGGAAAGCGCTCAAACAATCGCAACATTCCGTGCAAAGTGTCCAGAATTTTCGCTTTGCTCCATCGAAGCGAATCAACCTTCCTGGCGCATCCAGTTCTTTTTCCCACTTCTGGACAGTGATCAGATTCACTGACATGTTGGCCACATGGGACTAAGAACCATCTACTTCAACTGTGTCTTGTCGAACAGAAACAAACTGAATTGAAATTGACAGTGAAAGAAGAAAGGAGAACTTCAGGGAAAGTTGCCGCCGTGCAGTGTACCATGGTGTACAAAACTTCCAAAGACTGCAGTGCTAGTGCAGTGGCCAAAATCATAAAGAGCACGATCCGCGACCCGCACCCGCGTGCGCACTAAACAGGACAGGCCAGTTGGTTGGAGTAGTAATATACTACTCCCTATTAATTATTGAGAGTTGCACGTAAACTGCACGCAATCTGTACAGAATAGTCTTTGTACATACCGGTATGCATGGCCAGTGCATCGCAGTTATCGGCGATAAAAACGAAAAGCGAATCGCAGCCAGTGAATTTTGATTCGCAAACTGCGATGCGAACCCTGGCTATGATGTTCTAGCATTTGTGTGCTTTGGATAATACGAGTATATACCCAATCACTGCTGCAGCATGCAATTGCTTGAATCACGGTCAGTGTACTGAAGATGGCACCTGCAACTGCCGGAAAGGATTCCACGGAGACAAGTGCCAGCATAGTAAGTGAAGTGAATACGCATGCTTCTTAGGGCGCGTTTGGTTGGTATGACCTAGAACAGTATTCACCAGAACAGCGTGTTTGGTTGGGACTGCACCTGTTCTGGGTCGACCAGAACATGTTCTGCTTGCTCCGGCCTCGAGGCCGGAGCAGACCGAGCAGTTTCACTTTTCACATTAAAACCTGGCAGGAACATCGATTTTTGTCCCAAATGATCACGTGCTTACGTTTTTTTGGGTTGAATTCGTTGTAGTGTATGTTCTGCTTGCTCCGGCCTCGAGGCCGGAGCAGACCGACCAGTTTCACTTTTCACATTAAAACCTGGCAGGAACATCGATTTGGGTCCACAAATGATCACGTGCATACGTTTTTTGGGTTGAATTCGTTGTACGAACAAAGTGACCATGGTGACCCATAAACATTTTGAAGAATGCACCAAGTTTGGCACATTTTTCTCAAATATGTGCTCTGTTTCTGGAGTACCGTTTGGTTGGCATGAGGCTGCTCCATGTGCACCAGCTGTTGGATCCTGTTCTAGTTTATACCAACCAAACACACCCTTTACTGTTAGTGTAACATGAGTATGTCCAATACTGAATCCCTCTCTTGAAAATTTGAAATGAGCGAGTCGTTGTTTCGCAAAAACTACTGTCAGTAGTATGACACCCAACATGTAATAATTACTTGTGCCTATTTAGCAGCATAACACAGTAGTTGCGAGTATTTCCCGAACTAGGCTGCAAGCAAGACTACAATCATGCGTACCAGGTGTACTACGTTTAGATTTGCAAGAGTGTAGGCGTGCATTGTTTTATGTCTGGTCAATAGAATACTCGTATTCAGTCGAATACTCGCTAGTTTTCTCAAATAGTACTCGAGTCGATGATTATGGCACACAGTTCACCCGCTTTTTTGCTACAGATGCTGCTGTGAAATGTTAAAATTTTGAATGGTCGCACTATAATACTGCCTTTGTAATGCATAATTTTCTCAAATCTAGGCTGCTCATTGTACTCCAATTATGCCTTGAATGTCCAAACCTTGGGTCAAAGGAGAGGGGGGGGGGGGGGGGTAAATTATGCTCGGTGGCCCATTTTACTCCGACAAATGGGGTATGTACTTGAAATGGATCACGGTATCCCTAGGCAGGAAGTATATACCTTGTTAAGTGTGTTGCAACTGTGCTCTACTGCACCTGAATATGTTTTGCATATGTACTGTATTCTGTTCAGCTTTCCAAACGAACTGCCTGGGTACAGACAAGGCAGTGTACACCTGGACGGCTCTCGCCAGCTTGCCTTGTTATCCACAACTCGACGAGGCCAGCTGCCAGAAGAAGGCGAACTATACGAACGCCCACTATATGTGCAGGAGAAGAGGCTACAACTTGGTTGACTTTCATGCCTTCACCATCCTAAAGCTTGGCGTGCGGTACTGCATGGAAGCATTGCTCAACGAGATGATAGCGAGCAGTTACAGCAGCCCTATCACAATATGGACATCGTACAAGAGGAAAGGCCAGTATACCATTTACAAGCAGGGCAAGAACAACTTAAGAGAAGAATTACATGATAGATATGGAACAAGCCATCATGATGTCATCTGCGAAGGTAGGCCATTGCATTGTGATCAAAGGAACGTGTAAAAGAGATGCTGAGTAGCCAGCAATGAATGGATAAGGTCGAAAATGATTTTGAAGAGATTAGAGGACTGAAACAGAGAGGCGACAGCAATAGTGAGTACAATCTGGGTTTCCCACTGTAGGTGTGCAGATATTGCCCGATACCTGTACCTGGTTATGTTAAGGGGATAAAAAAATACCGCTGACCTTTCTATTTGATAGGGTTTTATTGAGCACGGCATAAAATAATAGATTTTGGGTCTCCCTTTATTCAGATTTATTGCACAATTTTTATTGTACATCTTCTCTAACCACGACTGTTTGTGTACTTGTCTTGCAGCCAAGTGGGTCCACATCAACGACTCAGTATACGCCGCTGCAACAACAGCAATCACAACCATTATCACTGAGCAGTTTGCAGAGGAGGCATGTCAGCAGTACGGACTTCACCTCATAACCGAGAACTGGCTGCAAACACATCACAGTGTATTATTTCGAGAGCCCTGGTTAAAGAAGTTGGCTATTCTTCATAAGCCTCGGAACGCACCTTTCCACGTGAAACCAATCCGGGTGAACGGCCGCTCCCTTTACAGAACCGTAAAATTTAGACAGCCAAAAAGTCTGATTTATCAAAACACCACAAGCACTACGCGAGCCCTAATCCTCTGTGTCAGTAAGTGAGAGGATAAGAATATCCAGTGCCAACATGTCCTGTTCCTACATGTCCTATCCCAATATGTCCTGTTCACCAACATGTCCTGTTCACCAACTTGTCCTGTTCACCAACATGTCCTGTTCACCAACAAGTCCTGTCTCAACATGTCCTGTGCATCCAACTGTCCTGTGCCAACATGTCCTGACAGCACAGTTTGTGCTGTTACTCTCTCCCCCTGGCCCCCGCATATCATTGCATTTATGGCGCATGCCCGGAATTGATTGTAGTTGTACCTAACAAAGAAACCTACTTTGACTGTGATCTTTGTTGGAGCATGCAAGGATTCAAGTACAGAAAGAATACTGGACCATAAGGTGACATAACAATTTGGCGACGAAGATGTCTCTAACGAAGTTTGATTTTTTTGGATTAGGCTGTGTTTACATGAGGCGTTTCAACCCGGGTTGAGTTCGACTCGGTTCAGATTTCAACCCGCCGTGCGCACACAATGAATGGCGTGTTTACATGACGCATTGCGCTTGACCAGGGTTGAAATTTCGCCCCGGGTTGATTTCAACCTGGGTCAAAGATATTGTACTACGTACTTCTGTGCGTATCTCGCGCCAGGTTTGAACAGCACTGCACATGCAAGTTCCGCAGGGAAAGGACTCACATGACCATACAGGACTCTAGAAGTGGAATTTTGGCTGCATATCAGTATTTGACCCGGGTCAACTGTCTTCATGTAAACGCTCACCTATTTTGTCTATCGTACAGACTTTCAACCCGGGCTGAACTCGACACGGTTTGAAATTTCTCATGAAACACAGTCTTAGGGGCGTTCGTTTTTGATCTACAGGTTCGGGTAGAAACTACTTCTTTCGGTAGAGGTGTTCGTGTTTTGAAAAAAAATTCTACTCAAAAGAGTAGATTCTACTTTCCTCTACCGACTCTACCGGCAACAAGTTGGTAGAATCCGGTAGAAGTTGGTAGACCTACGGGATTTCCAGCAAGATCAAGGATTTTTATACAACTCCATAAAAAAAGAAACATTTCACGTACACATCGTGTAAACTACTAGTTGTGGTAGAACAGCGTTCGTACACTTGCCTCTACCATCTACCTCTATCGGTAGAGTGACTCTACTCTACTCTACCAGGAAGCTAAAAACTAACGCAGCCCAAGCCATCATTTAGGGTTTTCCACATTCTATTGTCAGATTCTGTCAGAGTGCAATGCAATTGACTTTTTGCTTCCTTTTTTTGCGCAGAGTTCTGTGAGAGCGGTGTTCTTGCGCCAAACCTGACTTGTATGTGTAACCATACCACATCGTACGGAGAATATTGTGAAAAGGGTAAGACAGCAAGTCGTTAAGTTCTTTGTGTGTGTATGTGTGTGTGTGTGTGTGTGTGTGTGTGTGTATGTGTGTGTGTGTGTATTTGTGTGTGTGTGTGTGTGTGTGTGTGTGTGTGTGTGTGCGTCGCTCACTGCCAGGCTTGTGACCGCTGCTTTGCGTCTACACGTGGCCGCGCCCGTCATCGCTGCTCGCGGACTTGTAGTCGTCCGACCGTTCAGGACCGTCAGGGTTTCACGTGTGTTTGCGCCTGCTCCCGCCGATTTCGCTTACCGCATCACCTGGATCGTCACAGGGCTGTGTGCTCCTCCTCTGTCTCAGCTGCCCCTCCGGGGCCCACGTAACCTTCATGGCAGTGGCTCAACAGGACAGGACAGGACAGGTGTGTGTGTGTGTGTGTGTGTGTGTGTGTGTGTGTGTGTGTGTGTGTGTGTGTGTGTGTGTGTGTGTGTGTGTGGGTGGGTGTGTGTGGGTGTGTGTGGGTGTGTGTGTGTGATGCTGTGAAGTCGGCTGCCGTCGATGTGGCTGGGGAGGTGGTTGGCCGAGACAAGCGGCGTGTACCGGACTCGTTTCGTGATAGTGCCCCGGCACTGGAGCCCCTACTAGCATCCCGTAATCGGCTTTACGACCTGTGGGTAAGAACTGGCAATCAGAATGACCACAGGGCTTTCAAGGAGGCTCGTGGCCAGGCTCGGGCTGGTATACGTCAGGCAAAGACCAACTGGTTAATAGAAAAAGCGGCAGTGGTGCAACGGGGACGTTTCAGCGGCAATCATGTGCGGTCTGCCATCCGAGATATGCAGCACTATTGGCTAAAGCCAATATCTGTACAGGCTATCCGCAACACTCGCGGAGACGTCTGTGGATCTGTGCAAGAGCAGAGGGGCACATGGCACAGGCATTTCTCGGGTGTTTTGAATGGCTGCATTACTTACGATGCAGAGGTATTCCAGCAAATTACCCAGCGGGAGATCATGCACTCGCTAACGCAGCCACTGTCGGGAGAGAAGTTGACCCATGATCTGAGACATCTGAAGAACGGCAAGGCTGGTGGCATGTCCCAGATCCCAGATTGAACTGGAAACTTGTTGTGGTCAAATTCCAATATTTCCATAACTCCTTGAGTAACATCTCATGCATTATCTCTGTATCACGTCTTGTTTGTGCATATGCGATGGCTGCTGCAGCGTGCAAGTGTTTGAACCAGGGTCAGTGTGACGACAAGGGTAAATGCACCTGCCCGGAGGGAGTCAGGGGGAACCATTGCCAATACGGTAAGTAGAAGTGAACTCGGTTTATTTACGGTGTGTATCGAATTTTCAAAGCACAACTCCATGAGAAAGTGGCCTCCCTACCATGCGTGTAGGCTTAGGAGCTGCTTCGAGTGGCCCTGTGTAGGCTTCATGGTAGTTTCGATTAGGAGTGAAAGTAACAAGAAAACCTTTCCATCAAATGTAGCTTGTATTTGTACCGAATGTGTACCACCAAGCAACATTTTCTTTCCTTACCAACTTGGCAAGAGATACCTGGCCTCCAACCTCTGTCAGGTTCTCCCAACCTGTCCGATGACTAGCTGGAGATGGTATGATTTCATTTGGCTTCAACACCGCGTGTAATCTGCTTTTCAGCGTTTCAAAGACTCAAACGCAGACTCGAAGACTCCAAATGTTGTTATCGCTGCTCTTCCTTGAGTTGGCTGCTGGTTCACAGTTCAAATTATCCTGTATTTTTGTCTATCCATTCTTGTGTCTGGCTATGTTGCTCTTTCGCTTCTGTTCTCTTCTATGTGTGATATGTGATGCAGTTGTGTGCACACATCCCTGGGTGAAAAAGAACAAAGTATGCGAATGTCAAACCAGACTAGATGGACCTTACTGCAGGGAAGGTAAGGGTTAAAGAAAACTGCTGTAATGTAAGCCTGCATGTCTTATCTTGTATGACCCATGGTTACATGGATGCTGGAAGTTATTTTTCCAGACAAGAATAGTACTTCCCAGTTTCTATGCCGAGGTTTGCAGCTTAATCCGACTTCAAGTGGCTGAAATTTTTGTTCTATTCATGTTTAAGAAACGATACGTACGAGTATGATTTGGATATACGTGGGATTGGTGAATGAGTGTTTTAAATGCCTATGTGGAGGTGCAGACAATCTCATGATAATCAAGATATATGCATAGACGTCTTGAGAATCCAATATACTATGATGTTCTATTTCCATTTGTGTGCTTTGGATAATACGTGTGTATACCCAATCACTGCTGCAGTATGCAATTGCTTGAATCACGGTCAGTGTACTGAAGATGGCACCTGCAACTGCCGGAAAGGATTCCACGGAGACAAGTGTCAGCATAGTAAGTGAAGTGAATACGCATGCTTCTTAGGGTGCGTTTGGTTGGTATGACCTAGAACAGGATTCACCAGAACAGCGTGTTTGGTTGGGACTGCACCTGTTCTGGGTCGACCAGAACATGTTCTGCTTGCGCCCCCCTTGAGGCCGAAGCAGACCGAGCACTTTAACTTTTTCACAGTAAAACCTGGCAGGAACATTGATTTTGGTCCCAAAATGATCACGTGCATACGTTTTTTTCGGTTGAACTCGTTGTACCGTACAAAGTGAGCATGGTGACTCATAAACATGTTGAAGAATGAACAAAGTTTGGCATATTTTTCACAAAAAAATGTGCTCTGTTTCTGGAGTACCGTTTGGTTGGCATGAGGCTGCTCCATGTGCACCAGCTGTTCGATTCTGTTCTAGTTTGTACCAACCAAACACACCATTTACTGTTAGGGTAATATGAGTATGTCCAATACTCAATCCCTCTCTTGAAAATTTGAAATGAGCGAGTCGTTGTTTCGCAAAAACTACTGTCAGTAGTATGACCCCCAACATGTAATAATTACTTTTCCCTACTTAGCAGAATAACACAGTAGTTGCGAGTATTTCCCGAACTAGGCTGCAAGCAAGACTACAATCATGCGTACCCGGTGTACTATGTTTGGTTTTGCAAGAGTGTAGGCATGCATTGTTTTATGTCTGGTCAATAGAATACTCGTATTCAGTCGAATACTCGCTAGTTTTCTCAAATAGTACTCGAGTCGATGATTATGGCACACAGTTCACCCATACCGCTTTTTTGCTACAGATGCTGGTGTGAAATGTTAAAATTTTGAATGGTCGCACTAAAATACTGCCTTTATGATCCATAATTATCTCAAATCTAGGCTGCTCATTATACTCCGATTATACCTTGAATGTCCAAACCTTGGGTCAAAGGAGAGGGGGGGGGGGTAAATTATGCTCGGGTGCGCATTATACTCCGACAAATGGGGTATGTACTTGAAATGGACCACAGTATCCCTAGGCAGGAAGTATATATTTTGTTAGAGTGTGTTGCAACTGTGCTCTACTGTACCTGAATATGTTTTGCATATGCACTGTATTCTGTTCAGCTTTCCAAACGAACTGCCTGGGTACAGACAAGGCAGTGTACACCTGGACGGCTCTCGCCAGCTTGCCTTGTTATCCACAACTCGACGAGGCCAGCTGCCAGAAGAAGGCGAACTATACGAACGCCCACTATATGTGCAGGAGAAGAGGCTACAACTTGGTTGACTTTCATGCCTTCACCATCCTAACGCTTGGAGTGCGCTACTGCATGGAAGCATTGCTCAACGAGATGATAGCGAGCAGTTACAGCAGCCCTATCACAATATGGACATCGTACAAGAGGAAAGGCCAGTATACCATTTACAAGCAGGGCAAGAACGACTTAAGAGAAGAATTACATGATAGACATGGAACAAGCCATCATGATGTCATCTGCGAAGGTAGGCCATTGCATTGTGATCAAAGGAACGTGTGAGAGAGATGCTGAGTAGCCAGAAAAGAATGGATAGGGTCGAAAATGATTTTGAAGAGATTAGAGGACTGAAACAGAGAGGCGACGGCAATAGTGAGTACAATCTGGGTTTTCCCACTGTAGGCCTGCAGATATTGCCCGATACCTGTACCTGGTTATGTTAAGGGGGTAAAAATATACCGCTGACCTTTCTATTTGATAGGGTTTTATTGAGCATGGCATAAAATAATAGATTTTGGGTCACCCTTTATTCAGATTTATTGCATAATTTTTATTGTACATCTTCTCTAACCACGACTGTTTGTGGCCTTGTCTTGCAGCCAAGTGGGTCCACATCAACGACTCAGTATACGCCGCTGCAACAACAGCAATCACAACCATTATCACTGAGCAGTTTGCAGAGGAGGCATGTCAGCAGTACGGACTTCACCTCATAACCGAGGACTGGCTGCAAACACATCACAGTGTATTATTTCGAGAGCCCTGGTTAAAGAAGTTGGCTATTCTTCATAAGCCTCGGAACGCACCTTTCCACGTGAAACCAATCCGGGTGAACGGCCGCTCCCTTTACAGAACCGTAAAATTTAGACAGCCAAAAAGTCTGATTTATCAAAACACCACAAGCACTACGCGAGCCCTAATCCTCTGTGTCAGTAAGTGAGAGGATAAGAATATCCAGTGCCAACATGTCCTGTTCCAACATGTCCTATCCCAATATGTCCTGTTCACCAACATATCCTGTTCACCAACTTGTCCTGTTCACCAACATGTCCTGTTCACCAACATGTCCTGTCTCAACATGTCCTGTGCATCCAACTGTCCTGTGCCAACATGTCCTGACAGCACAGTTTGTGCTGTTACTCTCTCCCCCTGGCCCCCCCCCCCCGCATATAATTGCATTTATGGCGCATGCCCGGGATTGATTGTAGTTGTACCTAACAAAGAAACCTACTTTGACTGTGATCTTTGTTGGAGCATGCAAGGATTCAGGTACAGAAAGAATACTGGACCATAAGGTGACATAACAATTTGGCGACGAAGATGTCTCTAACGAAGTTTGACTTTTTTGGATTAAGCTGTGTTTACATGAGGCGTTTCAACCCGGGTTGAGTTCGACCCGGTTCAGATTTCAACCCGCCATGCGCACACAATGAATGGCGTGTTTACATGACGCATTGCGCTTGACCAGGGTTGAAATTTCGCCCAGGGTTGATTTCAACCTGGGTCAAAGATATTGTACTACGTACTTCTGTGCGTATCTCGCGCCAGGTTTGAACAGCACTGCACATGCAAGTTCCGCAGGGAAAGGACTCACGTGACCATACAGGACTCTAGAAGTGGAATTTTGGCTTCATATCAGTATTTGACCCGGGTCAACTGTCTTCATGTAAACGCTCACCTATTTTGTCTATCGTACAGACTTTCAATCCGGGCTGAACTCGACACGGGTTGAAATTTCTCATGTAAACACAGCCTTAGGGGGCGTTCGTTTTTGATCTACAGGTTCGGGTAGAAACTACTTCTTTCGGTAGAGGTGTTCGTGTTTTTGAAAAAAAATTCTACTCAAAAGAGTAGATTCTACTTTCCTCTACCGACTCTACCGGCAAAAAGTTGGTAGAATCCGGTAGAAGTTGGTAGACCTACGGGATTTCCAGCGAGATCAAGGATTTTTATACAACTCCATAAAAAAAGAAACATTTCACGTACACATCGTGTAAACTACTAGTTGTGGTAGAACAGCGTTCGTACACTTGCCTCTACCATCTACCTCTATCGGTAGAGTGACTCTACTCTACTCTACCAGGAAGCTAAAAACGAACGCAGCCCAAGCCATCATTTTGGGTTTTCCACATTCTATTGTCAGATTCTGTCAGAGTGCAGTGCAATTGACTTTTTGCTTTCTTTTTTTGCGCAGAGTTCTGTGAGAGCGGTGTTCTTGCGCCAAACCTGACTTGTATGTGTAACCATACCACATCGTACGGAGAATATTGTGAAAAGGGTAAGACAGCAAGTCGTTAAGTTCTTTGTGTGTGTGTGTGTGTGTGTGTATTTGTGTGTGTGTGTGTGTGTGTGTGTGTGTGTGTGTGTGTGTGTGTGTGTGTGTGTGTGTGTGTGTGTGTGTGTGTGTGTGTGTGTGTGTGTTTGTGTGTGTGTGTGTGTGTGTGTGTGTGTGTGGGTGTGTGTGGGTGTGTGTGGGTGTGTGTGCTTGGTACAGTAGAGGTTGGTTGCATTTTTGAGTGCTCTGACCTCAAGTCGTTTGTGTCACGTAACACAGCCCTGTCCGTGTGGTGTAGACCAGGGCAGGGCTGTGGTGACCTCCGCCAGTGGCCTTGCAAGCTACTGCGGAGTTGTTGTTGCGCACTCACTGCACAAGTAGTCGGAAAGTTCATTTTGAGAATTTCGAAAATTTGAATTTGGAATGGTGAGGAGGACGACGACGAAGTCCAACCAGACAGAGAGGAGAAAGGAAGGACGTGGTGGTGGTGGACGTGGAGCTGCTCTCGCTTTCGCGACGTGGAATGTTCGTTCCCTTGTCGAGGACTCTGGAGACGAGCGGATCTGCAGAAAGCGGCAAAATAATAATTTGTCGATCGATCGTAAATTGGATTTCTTGGTCGCGGAGTTTCGGAGATATGGGATTGCTATCGCTGCGATCCAAGAGACAAAGTGGTTCGAGTCCGATGTCTGGAGAGCTGATGGATATACGTTCTTGCACTCAGGTCGTCGTCTACCAAATGGCGATGGTCCTGCGCGTAGGAACGAAGGTGTTGGAATTATGCTGAACCCAGGGATGACGGAGGCTTGGAGACGTGCTGGTGAGCAGTGGACCGCTGTAAGTTCGAGATTGGTTGTGGCCCGTCTCAAGCTCGCGGAGGCGGGGGAACTTCGAGTGCATGGCGAATGGCAGAGAAGGAATGATTTGTATGTGACAGTTGTGAGTGCGTACGCACCAACCAGTAAAGCTACTGCACCCGTCAAAGATCATTTCTTTACAGATTTGCAGAGGGTGGTCGATGGTGTGCCAGCCAGTGATGTTCTGTTGCTGCTTGGTGACTTCAATGCTAGAGTTGGCAGCAGCAATGACGCAGGAGACGAATGGAGGGCTGTGTTGGGGAGATACGGTCACGGTGCGCGGAATGATGCTGGTGAGCGGCTTCTGATGTGGTGTGCTACCAACGGGCTGTCTGTAATGAACACCCATTTCCAGAAACCTGCGTCGAGGCGTGGGACCTGGATGCACCCAGCTACGAAGCAAACCCATCTCATAGATTTTATCATCATGAGGCAGCCACACCGTCGCTTTTGTCTTGATGTCAGCGTAATGCGAGGTGCCAACTGTTGGACAGACCACCACATGGTTCGCAGCAGGATTCTACTTGATCGTCCATTGTGCCGCAGGCCTCGCCCTGTGCCGAAACCCGCACCTGTTGCTGTCGGAAAGCTGGGTGACCCGGCCGTTCGCAAGAGCTTTGCTGAACAAATTTCAGACAAGCTCCCTGATACTGCTGATGCGGACACTGCAGCTGACCAATGGCAAGCGGTGAAGGATATAATGTGCAGTACAGCAGAGGATGTCCTGGGACCACGGCAACGCAGGCAACCCGACTGGTTTAAGGCGAGTGAGACTGTGCTTCTTCCGCTGATTGATATCAAGAATTCCGCTGGAGATGTCATGTTGCAGAAGAACACCGCGTCTTCACGCAAGAACTTTCGTCAGACACAACGTGAGGTGGAGAAGGCTGTAAGGAGTGCCAAGGAAACTTGGATTGAAGACATCGCATCCCAAGCTGAAAATGCTGCTAACAATTGTTCTGTTCGTTGGGCTGCAGTCCGCAAGTTGCAGACGCTCCATCAAGGCCGCCGTCCAATGCAGCCGTCTGCTGTGTATTTGGAAGATGGCACGTTGAGTGATGGACCCGAGGCTGTCAGTGGAAGATGGCTGCAGCACTTTCAGGGTGTCCTGAACGTTGAGAGTGAGTTTGACGCAGCTGTGGTCGAGATGATGGCGGATCGCCCTGTTATTCCTGAGCTGGACCAGCCACCCACTGCTGCTGAGCTGGAGGCTGCACTGCGGACCATGAAAGCGGGTAAAGCTGGCGGTCAGTCGGGCATTCTACCGGACATGGTCTTACATGGTGGCAAAGACCTACACAGTCGCATCCTGACCATCATGCGTAAATCCTGGCTCGAAGGCACTGTAGTCGATGATTGGCGTGATGCAGTGGTTGTGCCCATCCCCAAGAAGGGAGATCTACACCACTGTGATAACTGGCGCGGCATCAGTCTGTTGGACGTTGTCGGCAAGCTGCTTGCCCGTATTCTGCAGGACCGCCTCAAAGCTATCGCTGAAAATGTCTTGCCAGACTCTCAGTGCGGCTTCAGAAAGGGACGTGGCTGCGTCGATATGGTGTACGTCGCACGGCAGTTGATGGAGAAGACGTTGGAGCATGATTCAGATGCATATGTCCTGTTCGTCGATCTGAGAAAGGCGTATGACAGTATCCCGCGTGCAGCGCTGTGGCAGGTTCTCCAAAAGCTTGGTGTTCCGCCGGCAATGCTCCGCATCATTCAGTCACTCCACAACGGCATGACTGCTTCTGTTCGGGTGGATGGCAAGCTGACTGACCCGATAACTGTGCGGAATGGATTGCGTCAGGGCTGCACTCTCGCACCAATGCTCTTCAATTTGTACTTCTCTGCCGTCGTTGCCAGTTGGAGGTCCAGTTGTCCGGACGCTGGCATATGCTTTCGATATAAAGTCGGGAGGAAGCTAGTAGGTGACCGAACGGCGAAGGGCAAGCTTCTGTCATCAACGGTCACAGAATCCCAGTTTGCTGACGACGCTGCACTCTACGCAACATCTCGGCCTGCCTTCGAAGCGATGACTTCCAGCTTCATCACATGCGCAAGCAGCTGGGGCCTGACGGTCAGTGTGAGAAAGACCAAGGGTATGGCTGTGGGTGAGTCTGCTGATCGCCGTGACGTTGTTGTTGGAGCAGACACGATTGAGGTGGTGGACCAATTCATCTACCTTGGCAGTGTGCTCTCCTCGGATGGTCTTGCCTGTGCTGATGTCCGCTCTCGCCTTGCGAAAGCCTCAGCTGTGTTCGGAGCCCTCAAAGCTCCTGTCTTTGATAACCAGACCCTGTCGCTTCGCAGCAAGAGGCGTGTCTATGAGGCTGTCGTCCTCACGACCCTCTTGTATGGTGCGGAGACGTGGACCACCAAGGCAGGCCACCTCCAGAAGCTAAACACGTTTCACCATCAGTGTGTTCGGTCCATTGTGGGTATCGGCCGTCGTCAACAGTGGGATGATCGGATCTCAACGGCCACATTAGCAGCTACATTCGGTGTTGACCCTGATATCACCCGCATCATTCGTCGCCACCGGCTTCGTTGGCTGGGTCACGTCGGCAGGATGGACGACTCACGCGCACCGAAGCAATTGCTGTTCGGCGAGCTGCCTGCCCCCCGTCCTCGTCACGGCCCGAAGAAGAGGTGGCGAGATGTGGTATCGACTGACCTGGCGGACCTCGGCGTGACCACCTGGCTTGAGAGTTGCCAAGATCGTCCCGGCTGGAGACGAGTTGCGAGTAGCACCCCACCGCCACGGCCCGCTCCTGATCCTCTTCTATGTGTCTGTGGACGCCCATTTCGTCGACCAGGAGACCTGAAACGACATGCCAAGTTCTGCGCTCGTGTTCTCACTTGAACTTTCCGACATTCGCTATCATTGCTTACGCAATGGGCAAGATCAAGGTCAAGGTCAAGGTGTGGGTGTGTGTGTGTGATGCTGTGAAGTCGGCTGCCGTCGATGTGGCTGGGGAGGTGGTTGGCCGAGACAAGCGGCGTGTACCGGACTCGTTTCGTGATAGTGCCCCGGCACTGGAGCCCCTACTAGCATCCCGTAATCGGCTTTACGACCTGTGGGTAAGAACTGGCAATCAGAATGACCACAGGGCTTTCAAGGAGGCTCGTGGCCAGGCTCGGGCTGGTATACGTCAGGCAAAGACCAACTGGTTAATAGAAAAAGCGGCAGTGGTGCAACGGGGACGTTTCAGCGGCAATCATGTGTGGTCTGCCATCCGAGATATGCAGCACTATTGGCTAAAGCCAATATCTGTACAGGCTATCCGCAACACTCGCGGAGACGTCTGTGGATCTGTGCAAGAGCAGAGGGGCACATGGCACAGGCATTTCTCGGGTGTTTTGAATGGCTGCATTACTTACGATGCAGAGGTATTCCAGCAAATTACCCAGCGGCAGATCATGCACTCGCTAACGCAGCCACTGTCGGGAGAGAAGTTGACCCATGATCTGAGACATCTGAAGAACGGCAAGGCTGGTGGCATGTCCCAGATCCCAGATTGAACTGGAAACTTGTGGTCAAATTCCAATATTTCCATAACTCGATCAGTAACATCTCATGCATTATCTCTGTATCACGTCTTGTTTGTGCATATGCGATGGCTGCTGCAGCGTGCAAGTGTTTGAACCAGGGTCAGTGTGACGACAAGGGTAAATGCACCTGCCCGGAGGGAGTCAGGGGGAACCATTGCCAATACGGTAAGTAGAAGTGAACTCGGTTTATTTACGGTGTGTATAGAATTTTCAAAGCACAACTCCATGAGAAAGTGGCCTCCCTACCATGCGTGTAGGCTTAGAAGCTGCTTCGAGTGGCCCTGTGTAGGCTTCATGGTAGTTTCGATTAGGAGTGAAAGTAACAAGAAAACCTTTCCATCAAATGTAGCTTGTATTTGTACCGAATGTGTACCACCAAGCAACATTTTCTTTCCTTACCAACTTGGCAAGAGATAGCTGGCCTCCAACCTCTGTCAGGTTCTCCCAACCTGTCCAATGACTAGCTGGAGATGGTATGATTTCATTTGGCTTCAACACCGCGTGTAATCTGCTTTTCAGCGTTTCAAAGACTCAAACGCAGACTCGAAGACTCCAAATGTTGTTATCGCTGCTCTTCCTTGAGTTGGCTGCTGGTTCACAGTTCAAATTATCCTGTATTTTTGTCTATCCATTCTTGTGTCTGGCTATGTTGCTCTTTCGCTTCTGTTCTCTTCTATGTGTGATATGTGATGCAGTTGTGTGCACACATCCCTGGGTGAAAAAGAACAAAGTATGCGAATGTCAAACCAGACTAGATGGACCTTACTGCAGGGAAGGTAAGGGTTAAAGAAAACTGCTGTAATGTAAGCCTGCATGTCTTATCTTGTATGACCCATGGTTACATGGATGCTGGAAGTTATTTTTCCAGACAAGAATAGTACTTCCCAGTTTCTATGCCGAGGTTTGCAGCTTAATCCGACTTCAAGTGGCTGAAATTTTTGTTCTATTCATGTTCAAGAAACGATACGTACGAGTATGATTTGGATATACGTGGGATTGGTGAATGAGTGTTTTAATGCCTATGTGGAGGTGCAGACAATCTCATGATAATCAAGATATATGCATAGACGTCTTGAGAATCCAATATGCTATGATGTTCTATTTCCATTTGTGTGCTTTGGATAATACGTGTGGATACCCAATCACTGCTGCAGTATGCAATTGCTTGAATCACGGTCAGTGTACTGAAGATGGCACCTGCAACTGCCGGAAAGGATTCCACGGAGACAAGTGTCAGCATAGTAAGTGAAGTGAATACGCATGCTTCTTAGGGTGCGTTTGGTTGGTATGACCTAGAACAGGATTCACCAGAACAACGTGTTTGGTTGGGACTGCACCTGTTCTGGGTCGACCAGAACATGTTCTGCTTGCGCCCCCCTTGAGGCCGAAGCAGACCGAGCACTTTAACTTTTTCACAGTAAAACCTGGCAGGAACATTGATTTTGGTCCCAAAATGATCACGTGCATACGTTTTTTTCGGTTGAACTCGTTGTACCGTACAAAGTGACCATGGTGACTCATAAACATGTTGAAGAATGAACAAAGTTTGGCACATTTTTCACAAAAAAATGTGCTCTGTTTCTGGAGTACCGTTTGGTTGGCATGAGGCTGCTCCATGTGCACCAGCTGTTCGATTCTGTTCTAGTTTGTACCAACCAAACACACCATTTACTGTTAGGGTAATATGAGTATGTCCAATACTGAATCCCTCTCTTGAAAATTTGAAATGAGCGAGTCGTTGTTTCGCAAAAACTACTGTCAGTAGTATGACCCCCAACATGTAATATTACTTGTCCCTACTTAGCAGAATAACACAGTAGTTGCGAGTATTTCCCGAACTAGGCTTCAAGCAAGACTACAATCATGCGTACCGGGTGTACTACGTTTGGTTTTGCAAGAGTGTAGGCGTGCATTGTTTTATGTCTGGTCAATAGAATACTCGTATTCAGTCGAATACTGGCTAGTTTTCTCAAATAGTACTCGAGTCGATGATTATGGCACACAGTTCACCCATACCGCTTTTTTGCTACAGATGCTGGTGTGAAATGTTAAAATTTTGAATGGTCGCACTAAAATACTGCCTTTATGATCCATAATTATCTCAAATCTAGGCTGCTCATTATACTCCGATTATACCTTGAATGTCCAAACCTTGGGTCAAAGGAGAGGGGGGGGGGGGTAAATTATGCTCGGGTGCGCATTATACTCCGACAAATGGGGTATGTACTTGAAATGGACCACAGTACCCCTAGGCAGGAAGTATATATTTTGTTAGAGTGTGTTGCAACTGTGCTCTACTGTACCTGAATATGTTTTGCATATGCACTGTATTCTGTTCAGCTTTCCAAACGAACTGCCTGGGTACAGACAAGGCAGTGTACACCTGGACGGCTCTCGCCAGCTTGCCTTGTTATCCACAACTCGACGAGGCCAGCTGCCAGAAGAAGGCGAACTATACGAACGCCCACTATATGTGCAGGAGAAGAGGCTACAACTTGGTTGACTTTCATGCCTTCACCATCCTAACGCTTGGAGTGCGCTACTGCATGGAAGCATTGCTCAACGAGATGATAGCGAGCAGTTACAGCAGCCCTATCACAATATGGACATCGTACAAGAGGAAAGGCCAGTATACCATTTACAAGCAGGGCAAGAACGACTTAAGAGAAGAATTACATGATAGACATGGAACAAGCCATCATGATGTCATCTGCGAAGGTAGGCCATTGCATTGTGATCAAAGGAACGTGTGAGAGAGATGCTGAGTAGCCAGCAAAGAATGGATAGGGTCGAAAATGATTTTGAAGAGATTAGAGGACTGAAACAGAGAGGCGACGGCAATAGTGAGTACAATCTGGGTTTCCCACTGTAGGTGTGCAGATATTGCCCGATACCTGTACCTGGTTATGTTAAGGGGGTAAAAATATACCGCTGACCTTTCTATTTGATAGGGTTTTATTGAGCATGGCATAAAATATTAGATTTTGGGTCACCCTTTATTCAGATTTATTGCATAATTTTTATTGTACATCTTCTCTAACCACGACTGTTTGTGGCCTTGTCTTGCAGCCAAGTGGGTCCACATCAACGATTCAGTATACGCCGCTGCAACAACAGCAATCACAACCATTATCACTGAGCAGTTTGCAGAGGAGGCGTGTCAGCATTACGGACTTCACCTCATAACCGAGGACTGGCTGCAAACACATCACAGTGTATTATTTCGAGAGCCCTGGTTAAAGAAGTTGGCTATTCTTCATAAGCCTCGGAACGCACCTTTCCACGTGAAACCAATCCGGGTGAACGGCCGCTCCCTTTACAGAACCGTAAAATTTAGACAGCCAAAAAGTCTGATTTATCAAAACACCACAAGCACTACGCGAGCCCTAATCCTCTGTGTCAGTAAGTGAGAGGATAAGAATATCCAGTGCCAACATGTCCTGTTCCAACATGTCCTATCCCAATATGTCCTGTTCACCAACATGTCCTGTTCACCAACTTGTCCTGTTCACCAACATGTCCTGTTCACCAACATGTCCTGTCTCAACATGTCCTGTGCATCAAACTGTCCTGTGCCAACATGTCCTTGCAGCACAGTTTGTGCTGTTACTCTCTCCCTCTGGCCCCCGCATATCATTGCATTTATGGCGCATGCCCGGGATTGATTGTAGTTGTACCTAACAAAGAAACCTACTTTGACTGTGATCTTTGTTGGAGCATGCAAGGATTCAAGTACAGAAAGAATACTGTACCATAAGGTGACATAACAATTTGGCGACGAAGATGTCTGTAACGGAGTTTGGCTTTTTTGGATTGGGCTGTGTTTACATGAGGCGTTTCAACCCGGGTTGAGTTCGACCCGGTTCAGATTTCAACCCGCCATGCGCACACAATGAATGGCGTGTTTACATGACGCATTGCGCTTGACCAGGGTGGAAATTTCGCCCCGGGTTGATTTCAACCTGGGTCAAAGATATTGTACTACGTACTTCTGTGCGTATCTCGCGCCAGGTTTGAACATCACTGCACATGCAAATTCCGCAGGGAACGGACTCACGTGACCATACAGGACTCTAGAAGTGGAATTTTGGCGGCATATCAGTATTTGACCCGGGTCAACTGTCTTCATGTAAACGCTCACCTATTTTGTCTATCGTACAGACTTTCAACCCGGGCTGAACTCGACACGGGTTGAAATTTCTCATGTAAACACAGCCTTAGGGGCGTTCATTTTTGATCTACAGGTTTGGGTAGAAACTACTTCTTTCGGTAGAGGTGTTCGTGTTTTGAAAAAAAATTCTACCCAAAAGGGTAGATTCTACTTTCCTCTACCGGCTCTACCGGGAAAAGTTGGTAGAATCCGGTAGAAGTTGGTAGACCTCAGGATTTCCAGCAAGATCAAGGGTTTTTATACAACTCCATAAAAAAAGAAACATTTCACGTACACATCGTGTAAACTACTAGTTGTGGTAGAACAGCGTTCGTACACTTGCCTCTACCATCTACCTCTATCGGTAGAGTGACTCTACTCTACTCTACCAGGTAGCTAAAAAATAACGCAGCCCAAGCCATCATTTAGAGTTTTCCACATTCTATTGTCAGATTCCGTCAGAGTGCAATGCAATTGACTTTTTGCTTTCTTTTTTTTGCACAGAGTTCTGTGAGAGCGGTGTTCTTGCGCCAAACCTGACTTGTATGTGTAACCGTACCACATCGTACGGAGAATATTGTGAAAAGGGTAAGACAGCAAGTCGTTAAGTTCTGTGTGTGTGTGTGTGTGTATTTGTGTGTGTGTGTGTGTGTGTGTGTGTGTGTGTTTGTGTGTGTGTGTGTGTGTGTGTGTGTGTGTGTGTGTGTGTGTGTGTGTGTGTGTGATGCTGTGAAGTCGGCTGCCGTAGATGTGGCTGGGGAGGTGGTTGGCCGAGACAAGCGGCGTGTACCGGACTCGTTTCGTGATAGTGCCCCGGCACTGGAGCCCCTACTAGCATCCCGTAATCGGCTTTACGACCTGTGGGTCAGAACTGGCCATCAGAATGACCACAGGGCTTTCAAGGAGGCTCGTGGCTATGGCAGGCAAAGACCACCTCGTTAATGGAAAAAGCGGCGGTGGTGCAACGGGGACGTTTCAGCGGCAATCATGTGTGGTCTGCCATCCGAGATATGCAGCACTATTGGCTAAAGCCAATATCTGTACAGGCTATCCGCAACACTCGCGGAGACGTCTGTGGATCTGTGCAAGAGCAGAGGGGCACATGGCACAGGCATTTCTCGGGTGTTTTGAATGGCTGCATTACTTACGATGCAGAGGTATTCCAGCAAATTACCCAGCGGCAGATCATGCTCTCGCTAACGCAGCCACTGTCGGGAGAGAAGTTGACCCATGATCTGAGACATCTGAAGAACGGCAAGGCTGGTGGCATGTCCCAGATCCCAGATTGAACTGGAAACTTGTTGCGGTCAAATTCCAATATTTCCATAACTCGTTGAGTAACATCTCATGCATTATCTCTGTATCCCGTCTTGTTTATGCATATGCGATGGCTACTGCAGCGTGCAAGTGTTTGAACCAGGGTCAGTGTGACGACAAGGGTAAATGCACCTGCCCGGAGGGAGTCAGGGGGAACCATTGCCAATACGGTAAGTAGAAGTGAACTCGGTTTATTTACGGTGTGTATAGAATTTTCAAAGCACAACTCCATGAGAAAGTGGCCTCCCTACCATGCGTGTAGGCTTAGAAGCTGCTTCGAGTGGCCCTGTGTAGGCTTCATGGTAGTTTCGATTAGGAGTGAAAGTAACAAGAAAACCTTTCCATCAAATGTAGCTTGTATTTGTACCGAATGTGTACCACCAAGCAACATTTTCTTTCCTTACCAACTTGGCAAGAGATAGCTGGCCTCCAACCTCTGTCAGGTTCTCCCAACCTGTCCAATGACTAGCTGGAGATGGTATGATTTCATTTGGCTTCAACACTGCGTGTCATCTGCTTTTCAGCGTTTCAAAGACTCAAACGCAGACTCGAAGACTCCAAATGTTGTTATCGCTGCTCTTCCTGGAGTTGGCTGCTGGTTCGCAGTTCAAATTATCCTGTATTTTGTCTATCCATTCTTGTGTCTGGCTATGTTGCTCTTTCGCTTCTGTTCTCTTCTATGTGTGATATGTGATGCAGTTGTGTGCACACATCCCTGGGTGAAAAAAAACAAAGTATGCGAATGTCAAACCAGACTAGATGGACCTTACTGCAGGGAAGGTAAGGGTAAAAGAAAACTGCTGTAATGTAAGCCTGCATGTCTTATCTTGTATGACCCATGGTTACATGGATGCTGGAAGTTATTTTTCCAGACAAGAATAGTACTTCCCAGTTTCTATGCCGAGGTTTGCAGCTTAATCCGACTTCAAGTGGCTGAAATTTTGTTCTATTCATGTTCAAGAAACGATACATACGAGTATGATTTGGATATACGTGGGATTGGTGAATGAGTGATTCAAATGCCTATGTGGAGGTGCAGACAATCTCATGATAATCAAGATATATGCATAGACGTCTTGAGAATCCAATATGCTATGATGTTCTATTTCCATTTGTGTGCTTTGGATAATACGTGTGTATACCCAATCACTGCTGCAGTATGCAATTGCTTGAATCACGGTCAGTGTACTGAAGATGGCACCTGCAACTGCCGGAAAGGATTCCACGGAGACAAGTGTCAGCGTAGTAAGTGAATTGAATACGCATGCTTTTTAGGGTGCGTTTGGTTGGTATGACCTAGAACAGGATTCACCAAAAAAGCGTGTTTGGTTTGGACTGCACCTTTTCTGGGTCGACCAGAACATGTTCTGCTTGCGCCCCCCTTGAGGCCGAAGCAGACCGAGCACTTTAACTTTTTTACAGTAAAACCGGCAGGAACATTGATTTTGGTCCCAAAATGATCACGTGCATACGTTTTTTTCGGTTGAACTCGTTGTACCGTACAAAGTGACCATGGTGACTCATAAACATGTTGAAGAATGAACAAAGTTTGGCACATTTTTCACAAAAAAATGTGCTCTGTTTCTGGAGTACCGTTTGGTTGGCATGAGGCTGCTCCATGTGCACCAGCTGTTCGATTCTGTTCTAGTTTGTACCAACCAAACACACCATTTACTGTTAGGGTAATATGAGTATGTCCAATACTGAATCCCTCTCTTGAAAATTTGAAATGAGCGAGTCGTTGTTTCGCAAAAACTACTGTCAGTAGTATGACCCCCAACATGTAATATTACTTGTCCCTACTTAGCAGAATAACACAGTAGTTGCGAGTATTTCCCGAACTAGGCTTCAAGCAAGACTACAATCATGCGTACCGGGTGTACTACGTTTGGTTTTGCAAGAGTGTAGGCGTGCATTGTTTTATGTCTGGTCAATAGAATACTCGTATTCAGTCGAATGCTCGCTAGTTTTCTCAAATAGTACTCGAGTCGATGATTATGGCACACAGTTCACCCATACCACTTTTTTGCTACAGAGGCTGCTGTGAAATGTTAAAATTTTGAATGGTCGCACTATAATACTGCCTTTGTAATGCATAATTTTCTCAAATCTAGGCTGCTCATTGTACTCCAATTATGCCTTGAATGTCCAAACCTTGGGTCAAAGGAGAGGGGGGGGGGGGGGGGTAAATTATGCTTGGTGGCCCATTTTACTCCGACAAATGGGGTATGTACTTGAAATGGATCACGGTATCCCTAGGCAGGAAGTATATACCTTATTAAGTGTGTTGCCACTGTGCTCTACTGTACCTGAATATGTTTTGCATATGTACTGTATTCTGTTCAGCTTTCCAAACGAACTGCCTGGGTACAGACAAGGCAGTGTACACCTGGACGGCTCTCGCCAGCTTGCCTTGTTATCCACAACTCGACGAGGCCAGCTGCCAGAAGAAGGCGAACTATACGAACGCCCACTATATGTGCAGGAGAAGAGGCTACAACTTGGTTGACTTTCATGCCTTCACCTGGCTAGCGCTTGGAGTGCGCTACTGCATGGAAGCATTGCTCAACGAGATGATAGCGAGCAGTTACAGCAGCCCTATCACAATATGGACATCGTACAAGAGGAAAGGCCAGTATACCACCATTTACAAGCAGGGCAAGAACGGCTTAGGAGAAGAATCACATGATAGACATGGAACAAGCCATCATGATGTCATCTGCGAAGGTAGGCCATTGCATTGTGATCAAAGGAACGTGTGAGAGAGATGCTGAGTAGCCAGCAAAGAATGGATAGGGTCGAAAATGATTTCGAAGAGATTAGAGGACTGAAACAGAGAGGCGACGGCAATAGTGAGTACAATCTGGGTTTCCCATTGTAGGTGTGCAGATATTGCCCGATACCTGTACCTGGTTATGTTAAGGGGGTAAAAATATACCGCTGACCTTTCTATTTGATAGGGTTTTATTGAGCACGGCATAAAATAATAGATTTTGGGTCACCCTTTATTCAGATTTATTGCACAATTTTTATTGTACATCTTCTCTAACCACGACTGTTTGTGCACTTGTCTTGCAGCCAAGTGGATCCACATCAACGATTCAGTATACGCCGCTGCAACACCAGCACTCACAACCATTATCACTGAGCAGTTTGCAGAGGAGGCATGTCAGCAGTACGGACTTCACCTCATAAACGAGGACTGGCTGCGAACACATCACAATGCATTACTTCGAACGCCCTGGCTAAACAAGTTGGGTATTCTTCATAAGCGTTGGAACGCACCTTTCCACGTGAAACCAATCCGGGTGAACGGCCGCTCCCTTTACAGAACCGTAACATTTGAAAACATTAGACATTGGCATTGGTTTTCGCATTTTTTTTATTCAAGACGGCCAATAACTATGAATTATGAAGACACCACAAGCACTACGCGAGCCCGAATCCTCTGTGTCAGTAAGTGAGAGGATAAGAATATCCAGTGCCAACATGTCCTGTTCCAACATGTCCTATCCCAATATGTCCTGTTCACCCACATGTCCTGTTCACCAACTGGTCCTGTTCACCAACTTGTCCTGTTCACCAACATGTCCTGTTCACCAACATGTCCTGTCTCAACATGTCCTGTGCATCAAACTGTCCTGTGCCAACATGTCCTTGCAGCACAGTTAGTGCTGTTACTCTCTCCCCCTGGCCCCGCATATCATTGCATTTATGGCGCATGCCCGGGATTGATTGTAGTTGTACTTAACAAAGAAATCTACTTTGACTGTGATCTTTTGTTGGAGCATGCAAGGATTCAAGTACAGAAAGAATACTGTTCTGTAAGGTGACATAACAATTTGGCGACGAAGATGTCTCTAACGAAGGTTGACTTTTTTGGATTAGGCTGTGTTTACATGAGGCGTTTCAACCCGGGTTGAGTTCGACCCGGTTCAGATTTCAACCCGCCATGCGCACACAACGAATGGCGTGTTTACATGACGCATTGCGCTTGGCCAGGGTTGAAATTTCGCCCCGGGTTGATTTCAACCTGGGTCAAAGATATCGTACTACCCTACTTCTGTGAATATCTCGCGCCAAGTTTGAACAGCACTGCACATGCAAATTCCGCAGGGAACGGACTCACGTGACCATACAGGACTCTAGAAGTGGAATTTTAGCGGCATATCAGTATTTGACCCGGGTCAACTGTTTACATGTAAACGCTCACCTATTTTGTCTATCGTACAGACTTTCAACCCGGGCTGAACTCGACACGGGTTGAAATTTCTCGTGTAAACACAGCCTTAGGGGGCGTTCGTTTTTTATCTACAGGTTTGGGTAGAAACTACTTCTTTCGGTAGAGGTGTTCGTTTTTTGAAAAAAAAACTTCTCAAAAGGGTAGATTCTACTTTCCTCTACCGGCTCTACCGGGAAAACATTGGTAGAATCCGGTAGAAGTTGGTAGAGCTACGGGATTTCCAGCAAGATCAAGGATTGTATACAACTCCATAAAAAAAGAAACATTTCACGTACACATCGTGTAAACTACTAGATCTGGTAGAGCAGCGTTCGTACACTTGCCTCTACCATCTACCTCTATCGGTAGGGTGACTCTCCTTTACTCTACCAGGTAGCTCAAAACGAACGCAGCCCAAGCCATCATTTTGGGTTTTCCACATTCTATTGTCAGATTCTGTCAGAGTGCAATGCAATTGACTTTTTGCTTTCTTTTTTTGCACAGAGTTCTGTGAGAGCGGTGTTCTTGCGCCAAACCTGACTTGTATGTGTAACCGTACAACATCGTATGGAGAATATTGTGAAAAGGGTAAGACAGCAAGTCGTTAAGTTCTTTGTGTGTGTGTGTGTGTGTGTGTATTGTGTGTGTGTGTGTGTGTGTGTGTGTGTGTGTGTGTGTGTGTGTGTGTGTGTGTGTGTGTGTGTGTGTGTGTGTGTGTGTGTGTGTGTGTGTGTGTGTGTGTGTGTGTGTGTGTGTGTGTGTGTGTGTGTGATGCTGTGAAGTCGGCTGCCGTCGATGTGGCTGGGGAGGTGGTTGGCCGAGACAAGCGGCGTGTACCGAACTCGTTTCGTGATAGTGCCCCAGCACTGGAGCCCCTACTAGCATCCCGTAATCGGCTATACGACCTGTGGGTCAGAACTGGCCATCAGAATGACCACAGGGCTTTCAAGGAGGCTCGTGGCCAGGCTCGGGCTGGTATACGGCATTCAAAGACCACCTGGTTAACGGAAAAAGCGGCAGTGGTGCAACGGGGACGTTTCAGCGGCAATCATGTGTGGTCTGCCATCCGAGACGTGCAGCGCTGTTTTGGTGGGCTTAAGCCAATATCTGTACAGGCTATCCACAACACTCGGGGAGACGTCTGTGGATCTGTGCAAGAGCAGGGGGCACATGGCACGGGCATTTCTCGGTGTTGTGAATGTCTGCAGTACTTACGATGCAGAGGTATTCGAGTAAATTCCCCAGCGGGAGATCATGCACTCGCTAACGCTGCCACTGTCGGGAGAGGAGTTGACCCATGCTCTGAGACATCTGAAGAACGGCAAAGCTGGTGGCATGTCCCAGATCGTGCCTGAACTGTTGAAAGTCGGTGTGCCCGTCCTCCACCCACTCCTCCTTGACCTGCTTTAATCTGGTCGGAGGGTTACATACCGCATGACTGGCGTGATGCAGTGCTCATCCCCATACCTAAGAAGAGCGACCTTTCTCGATGCGACAATTGGTGAGGAATTGCATTGCTGGAGGTTGTGGGAAAGCTAGCTGCTAGGGTTGTGCAGAATCTGGTGCAAGTGCTCGCTGAGGATGAGCTACCGGAGTTGCAGTGTGGGTTTCAGCGAAACCGTGGTTGTGCTGATGCCATCTTCTCTGTCCGCCAACTGATAGAGAAATCATATGAGCATCGATCGAAACTGTTTTGCGTCTTTGTGGACCTCCGCAAAGCATACGACTCTGTGCCTTGTGAGGCTCTGTGGCAGGCATTGCTTCGGCTCGGTGTCCCCCCTCAGGCTGTGGCTCTCGTGAAGTCGTGCCATATGGGCATACGGCGCCTGTTCGTGTTGCTAGTAGTTGTACCGATCCGATCTCTGTCAAAAATGGTTTGCGGATGGGGTGTGCCATGGCTCCTGTGCTGTTCAACCTGTATTTCGGATTGGTGATGGAGCGCGGTAAAGGTCTGTTCTCAGGGAGCGCGGCATCGAATCTGGTGTGGATTTCAGCTTCTTGATTGATGGGCAGTTGTTTCCCCGTGCAGCTGGGCGACGTTGATAGTCTCAGACTGGACATGCTGATGATTTTGATGTTGCCGATGACGGCGTCCTACTCGCAACAACTCGTGCTGCAGCCGACCTCTCCCTATCCGCCTTCCGTGATGTGGCATCCAGCTTTGGCCTCACGGTCAGCATTACGAAGGCTAAGCTGCTAGTCGCAGGCAATGGAGTCGCCACCACTAATTGTTCTGGTCTGGCAGTTGGCAATGAAAGGGTTGAAGCTGTTACCTCCTTCCCCTATCTTGGATCTGTCATAACTCCGGATTCGCGAGCTCATGCCGATGTCTAGAGCCGCTTTGCGAAGGGTGCAAGGGCCTTTGGCTGTCTTCGGCGGATTTTGCATGATCAGAGCCTGAACCTGCCTTCTCGACGGCGTTTGTACGTGGAGTGTGTTCTCACCACAGTTTGTACGGCTCAGAGTGTTGGACCCCATTGAAGTCGGATTTGGACAAGCTGGACAGGTTCCATCACGCCAACCTACTGTCAATCCTTGGCATTTCGCGCGGCCGCCAGTGGGAGCAACACATCACATTGGAGCAACTACGCGCACAGTGGGGTGACCCTAATTTACAGAGGAGGCATGTCAGCAGTACGGACTTCACCTCATTGTCGTGCTTGGTACAGAGAAGACGCTTGGAGTGGCTTGGGCACCTAGCTCGGCTTGATGACAATCGGTTACCCAAGCAGTTGCTCTTCACTCATCTCCCACGAACCCGCCCGTTTTGCGGCCCCCGACATCGCTGGAAGGACGCTGTCCGGCCTGATCTGACTGTGGCCGGTGTGCACAATTGGTTCGAATTGGCCAACAATGGCGGAGAGTGGCGTGATATTGTGTCGGCAGCAGCGAGGGTGAAGGAGCCTGCCCTGAAGACGATTGTGTGCCACGTTTGCGACCGCCTGTTTTGTCGTCGCGCTGACATGGCCCGACACAAGTGCACAGCAGTCTGACAGCTCCCCGTACCACAACAGCCTGGGTCAGTGTAGTGTCCTGCCTGCAGCAGATGGCTCCGGAGCAGCAGTGGGCTTGCGTTGCGCAAGTGTCAAGAGAGTGACAACTGTGATGACCAACCGCCTAGTGGTGCTCCTCCTGTTACCGAGGTCCCGGTATGTACAGTCTACCAGCGTACTTTTAAGTCTACTGCTGGCCTCAAGCGCCATCGCTGTGGACCCCGCCCGAATCGCCCTACAGTGACTGATCGCCAGCACTTTGAACATCATTGCCGAGTCTGTAATCGACGCCAGTTTCGTAGGCGACAGGACCTGGAGCGCCATTTGAAGCACTGCCTTCCTCTTCCCTAACCTCTCTGACAGTACCTCCCTTCGGGAGCGCCGTGGCCATTTCTGGCACCTGTCAATAGTAGTAGTAGTGTGTGTGTGTGTGTGTGTGTGTGTGTGTGTGTGTGCGTGTGTGCACGTGTTTGTGTGTGTGTTTGCGTTTGTGTTTGTGCGTTTGTGTGTATGTGTGTGTGTGTGTGACTCCAAGATTTATTTACACGACCCCATGTCAGCATCGGTGCAGTTCAACAACATATTATCAGACCCGTTCAGCATTGGCAATGGTCTTCGCCAGGGGTGCTCTATGGCGCCGGTCCTTTTTAATATCTTTATGTGGGCCGTGATGACCCAGTGGCAACACCGCGTCAGGAGAGTTGACGGGGTTGGCTTCGAGCTCCGCTCAGCATACAGCAGCGATTTATACCGTAAACCCCGCCGTGACGACCAACACCATTGCCTAACAGATTCCCAGTTTGCTGACGACTCTTGTTTATTCGCTAAGACTCGGTCTGGAGCGGGGGCAGCATTGTGCTGTCTTCACGAGGTGGCGTCGGGATTCGGCTTGACCATCAGTGCAACGAAGACTCAGTTTGTGGTTGTTGGCCCCGGCATCACGCTTACTGACCGCGCTCCCCTCCAACTTGGTCAAGCGGAGGTGGAATGCGTACCGCATTTCAAATACCTCGGTTCTGTAGTGGACAGCGGTTGCCGTTCGTCCCGGGACATCGCCGCAAGGATTGCCCAAGCCTCCAGGGCCTGCGGTGCTCTTCGGAGGTCTGTATTCTCCAATCCACATCTGCTGATGCACACCAAGCGGTGCGTATTCAATGCTTGCGTTCTGTCCCTGCTGTTGTATGGCTCTGAGTGCTGGACGCCCCTTCAGCATGACCTGCAGAAGCTCTCAACCTTCAGCATGAGGTGCATCCGATCCATCCTCGGGGTCTCTCGAAGCCGGATGTGGGACGAACACATCACCAACGAAGAGCTGCTGGTGCGCTGGGGAGACTCCGAGACGATTAAAGACAAAATTGCACATCGGCGGTTGGAGTGGTTGGGGCATGTGGCGCGGATGCCGGACAACCGCATCCCAAAACAGGTACTGTTTGGCTCCTTCTTGCAGCGTCGCCCAGCACATGGCCCACGCCGCAGATGGAAGGACTGCGCTGTCCGAGATCTACGTGCCTGTTGTAGTACGTTATTTTGTGTACGTCGTGTGTACGTCATGTTGGTGCATGCGCGTGTTGCTGTGGTGTAAAAAGCAGTCTTCGTCTCGAGTTCATGATGTCTTCGTCTTGAGTTTATCATGTCTTCGTCTTGAGTTCGTCATGTATAGTTGTGGTTCCGTCGTCTTGTCACAAATATAGTCTTCTAAATGTACGCAAGAGGTACACAAAAGGAAGTATATAGGGCTGTTTTTGTTGTAACTCAGATTTTCATGGCAAAAACCAATCATCAGACCTGTCTGATGATTGGTTTTTGCCATGAAAATCTGAGTTACAACAAAAACAGCCCTATATACTTCCTTTTGTGTACCTCTTGCGTACTACGCTCTGCCCATTCCGGGCATTTGAGCACTATTGCAGGTTAAGGCGCACACCCTCTGTCTTCTAAATGTAGTTATCGTCGCCCCTTTGTATAAGTGTGGAGATGGCACGGGACTGGGAGCAGGTAGAGAAAGCGAGTACAACATTGGTGGCAGTTACAACATTGGTGGCAGCGGTAATGGAAATTTGTAAATCTCAACTTCTGGATTCGTCCTGCGTGGCCTTCGCTCCCAGTTTCCGATGTCATCTCCAGTCGTCCTATCGTCACAGTTTTGTCCGTCTTGAAGAAGTTCGTCCGTCGTCCTCGTCCTTCATCATTCGTCTCTCCCGTCTCTTGTCAGTCGTCGTCACTGGTGGTCCCGGACACGACGTAAAACTGTGCCCAGAAGAAGAGGAAAAGAAAAAGAAGGATGGATGGTCCCGGACACGACGTAAAACTGTGCCCAGAAGAAGAGGAAAAGAAAAAGAAGGATGGATGGTCCCGGACACGACGTAAAACTGTGCCCAGAAGAAAAACGGAAACAGAAAAAAAGAAGGATGGAATGTGAAGGCTGCAGTGTGAGGATGTGGACGCTGAGCAGCGCTCCTTGAGATGGCGGATGACATGGCAGACGGCGTGAGGAGTTTCGTTGGTGAGAGGGTACGTGTGTTGTTGTGAACGTGATGAGTATGTGAGTTGTGTATTTTCTGTTCTCCCAACATTTTTGTTCTTTATTATTTGCTCTCCTCGAGGGTAAAGAGGCGCCCGCACAGCGCGTGTGTTCTGTTTGTTTTTTGATTTGCTCTTCTATGAGGATAACTAGAGGCCCCCACAGAGCCAGTGGATTCTGTTCTTTTTGTTATTCTTATGATTTGTGCTCTCACATTTTAGAATTTTTGCGTGATCGTGAGGTGGTGTGTTGAGTAAAGCATTAGTTAGAGTTTTGAGGTTATCAGTTCCCACACGTGTGACAGCGATCGTGGCTGGTGTTCTGGGTGGGCGGACAGAGTTTTTTTTAATGATCTGCAGTGCAGGCAGAGGTATTTTATTTCTGGGTGTGACTGGTGTGGTATGATTGAGTGATTTGTGTGATCTTTTCCTCTTTTTACTCTGTTTTATTATTAGAATCGAGGACGATTCTACTCTTGGGAGGGAGTTATGTTGTAGTACGTTATTTTGTGTACGTCGTGTGTACGTCATGTTGGTGCATGCGCGTGTTGCTGTGGTGTAAAAAGCAGTCTTCGTCTCGAGTTCATGATGTCTTCGTCTTGAGTTTATCATGTCTTCGTCTTGAGTTCGTCATGTATAGTTGTGGTTCCGTCGTCTTGTCACAAATATAGTCTTCTAAATGTAGTTATCGTCGCCCCTTTGTATAAGTGTGGAGATGGCATGGGACTGGGAGCAGGTAGAGAAAGCGAGTACAACATTGGTGGCAGTTACAACATGCCCGTGGCGTGGAGGCATCATGGTATGATGTTGCATGTGAGTCTCGCGCGGAGTGGTGCAGCACCTACCAAGAGCCTGACAATGTGCCTGAGCCTCCGCCCCGAGTGATATGTACGGTATGCGGACGGGATTTTGCACGGAAAGGAGACATGGCTCGGCATAAGTGTCTGGAGGAGCGTGCGCGGCCTGTGTCTGAGCAGCGGGGCGCCAGTCAGTGCGGGTGGTGTGGGCGGTGGCTGAGAAGCCGCGGTGGCTTGGTCCGGCATGTGTGTGCCTCAACGGTGGATGCCGCAGTGCCACCTGGAACTACCGGAGCGTCGGCACCGGCGGAGGGATGTTGTGCCGCGCATTGTGACAGGTGTGGTCGCTGCTTTCGCGGTGTCCGGGGACGGGGAAGGCATCGCTGTTCAAGGGTGGCTCATAGACCAACAGCAGAGGAGCGCTCAGCCTTCCAGCACGTGTGCATATGCGGCAAGCGGATGCGACTACCCGTGCACCTGGAGCGTCATCGAGCGTCGTGTCCTCTCTCTCTCTCTTCTCAAGTTTCCCAGTGATGGGATCACGTGACCCTTTTGCGGCAGTGACTCTACAGGACAGGACAGGACAGGTGTGTGTGAGTCCCATATGGTGCAGTGGTATGTGCAGCGATTTCCAATCGATAGATTGCGGGTTCGATTCCCGACGATTATGGTCACACACGTCTTTCTTCTCTTTCTCAGACTTTTCCTGACTTTTCTTTCATTCTCCTGGGTGGTTACCAACAGCCAGTGCATGCCGGAGTATGTGGTGTGATGTGTGTGCGGGAAAAAAAATGAAAAAATGAAAAAAATGAAAAAGACCAAAAAAAGGGATTCACTGGTCAGAAAATGTCACTCCAAATAGCTGTATGGTGTAGACCAGGCTGAACAGTGACGGTCAATTCTTCAGCCTTGCAAGCTGTTGAATGGTGTAATCCCAGCACAAGTTGCTATGGCTTCTGCCGTAGCATTGCTATCATCGCCTCCGGCGATGGGCGTCAAAGGTCAAGGTGTGTGTGAGTGTGCGTGTGTGTGTGTGTGTGCGTGTGTGTGTGTGTGTGCGCGCGCTTGTGCGTGTGTGTGAGCACGCGCATTTAAAAAAATCTGAGAGCAATCACTTTAGAGAAGGGAAAGTACACTAACCAGACAGCAGGGAAACAGCAGAGATCTGATAGATATAACCAGCGCTAATAGCTAGATAGAGTGTGTTTTGGCTGGTCTGTGTGTCTACCGCCATTTGACACATCACATAATGTATTTCATTCAGAATCTATACAATAAAATCAGAACTTGAAAAGCTACCGTATCAGAAGCCCCCTCTTTAAATATACCCCCCCCCCTCCCTCACTGCAATAACCGTTTGAAATAAAGCGAAGCCTCTCCAACAGAAATGAGGACCACTTTTCGCGAAGCATGGTCAGAGGCCAGGCATTGCCATGTTTGATATGATCAAATGTATACAGAACATCACTTGCATGTACTGTAAATGTTCTGTTGTGGACATTGAAATCCTATGAGATGACCGTGGCCGGCGCCCTTGCTGCTTTTAGTGCGTACACGTACTGTAGTTTGCGTACACACTGTTTAGAATGGACCAGCAGTGCTCACGGCTGCAAGTTCAGTGCCCCGTGGCTTCTTGACTTCCCAGCAGATTTCAATCTCCGCTACAGTATATATCCAGGTGCACACTGTGCGTACAAACTAATCCCAGGCCAAGTTGCTTAGAAAATCTTAAAGTTTAGGTTTGAATAACAGTATGCAGTTTCCTTGCCCAATGCAGAAGCAACTTTCCACATGTAGAGTGTAAACTCGCCCGCTACCTCGCCCGCTAACGTAAAGTTGCTCAAACTTACGTAGAGCGGACCTATATTTTATAAAGTGTTCCTACATGCTCAAATCAATCTCTCCAATGTCACTCAAATATTGACCTGGACACTTTGTGTGGTCAAATTTCTGTATTTCCACTGCTCGTTGAGTAACATCCCATGCATTATCTCTGTGTCACGTCTTGTTTGTGCGTATGGGATGGCTGCTGCAGCGTGCAAGTGTTTGAACCAGGGTCAGTGTGACGACAAGGGTAAATGCACCTGCCCGGAGGGAGTCAGGGGGAACCATTGCCATTACGGTAAGTAGAAGTGAACTCGGTTTATTTACGGTCTGTATAGAATTTTCAAAGCACAACTCCATGAGAAAGTGGCCTCCCTACCATGCGTGTAGGCTTAGGAGCTGCTTCGAGTGGCCCTGTGTAGGCTTCATGGTAGGGATTCAAAGGAAGCCATTGCCAAGAAGGTACGTACAACTGGCGCTGTACGCGGTACGCTTGCGGTTCATGGGTCCCCAAACGCGCGCTCAGGCTTTCACAAAGAACAGCAATCTGAGTCGTATTTAGCACGTTCGATACCTTCGAGTACTAATTTTTTGACCCCGCCGGTCAATGTGACTGGCATGTACGCTAATACAGGTCTTCTCTCATTATAACGAGTCCGGTTAGTACATAAATCCCGTTAGTAAATAGAAATCTGAAATCCCCTGGCGAAACGTGGTCTATGCAACTGTTTACAGGTCCGGTTACAACATAATCCGTTAGTAAATAAAATCGTAATAACCACCCTTTGCCCAGGTCCCCGAATTGCCAAACCCTCAGTATAAGATAAAATTGACCATGCAGGACTAAGGCCAAACACGTAGGATAAAGCAGGAAGAGGAAATGTATAATGCCTATGTATTCGTGAATATGGACGATCCTTTGCATCCAAGGAAGAGTTCTGTTGGAGATTTTCAATTATCTGTCCAACTCGGGATGGTTCCTGTTGGAGCGTAATTCGTGCAGTACGTCATTTCTGACGGCATGGTAAGCCACAGGTACGGTGAAAAGTTGCGTAACCAGTCGCAGTGGTGCAGGTCACTGAGTTTGTCCTGATTTCGGTTTTTTGATACGGATAGCCTGGTGAATTTACTTGTCGGTGGATGTACACAGTCACACAAAACACCGAAATCCTGAAACAGGACGTCTAAAATCAAGCAAACTTGGCTGATTTCCGGGCTATGAAACATTAAAATTTGAGCTGTACGCAAGTCGCGGCTTGGCTGACCTCATCAGGGTGACGTAGTGCACGAACTGCGCTGTTTCAGATCTGATATGCACAGTTGCACACTCTGGTTTATGTACTCTTGACAAGTTGAAGCATCAATAACTTATGTTGTATTGAGGGTAGCCCCGGTAAGTACGAAGTAGTGCCTATTTCACCTTTAGCTGCACGCTTTCATGAGAAATCACACCTTGACATTTACTGCTGTTATTGTTTCCCCCTGACTTTACGATGCTTGCGGTATTGTTTCACTTGTTCTGATTTGTTCTTTGGTGCAACGTTGATTCCCTAGGAGAGTTGTGGTTCGAATCATTCTTTTTTCAATCGCCTTTTCTTCATACATGTACATGTATTTCTCCTTTCCTGTTTAGACTGTTTTCGCGTTGTATCCATCGCTTGACACTGCTTAGTAAAGTAATCTAATGTCACTGAGGAGGTTAATTAGTTGTTACAAACCACCAGTTCTCAAGTGGGAAAGGCCTTCGCGCTAATGACATTGTATTCGTTGCAGTGTTGTATCTCGACTCTGCCGTACCGCTGATGTTTGCTGCATGGCATACATTATAATATTATGCGCTGTGTGCGGCTTTGACTGTGTACGCTGTTATGTCCTGTTTTATATGCGTATGTTTTTGCATGTTCGCTGTCATTTGCATGCTATAAATAGCTGGTGTTATGAGTCTTAGTCGTTGAGAAATATACTGTTGAAGAGTAAATAGTTGTGCTCGTGCCGCGTGGTGGTTTGATCCTGACATTTAAGAGAATCTCAGAGGGTTCACAACATTTGGCGACCACGTCAGGATTGAAGCGAGCATTTCAGAGCAACAAAGTAATTTGGAAGCCAGATTTATCGCTAATGGAATTCGCTTAGGATTGGTTGGCGATGCGTTGAGGGAACATTTGGAGCAGAGGCTCCGACAGTACGAGGAGCGTGAGGAGCGCAGTGCCAGAAGGCGAGAGGAGGCGCTCCGCACCGAGTTTGAAAAACGCTCAAGGAGGTTAACGAGCGCATTGCCAACGCGTATGAGGGTGAGGGTAAAGCCGCCAGTGAGAGTGCGATGGGAGGTACAGTGGAAGCTCCCAGTCACAGCTGTGGACGTAAGCCGTTGATAAAAATCCCCTCATATTATGGAACGCAGCCATTGGAGCGTTATCTTGACCTGTTCGAGGACATCTGTTCCAAGAAAGAGTTCGAAAAAAGCGAATAGCTGCTGCGTTTGAGCATCGCGCTAGCGGGTAGCAAAGCGGAGAGGATATGTATTGGATGCAATAATTACGAGGAAGCAAAGCAAGAGTTGCTTGCCTCGCTCGGAAAGACGCAAGATAAAGCGTGGAAGACAGTGCTGACAGGCAAGCAGCGGTCAGAGGAGTCTTTTCACCAATACGTTGTCCGTGTTTGCCGAGAGAGGTGTGGGCCACACTCGCTATGACGGATGATAGCGAAAGTGGACATCAAGTATAGCGCCTATATCGGTAAAATGGCCCCTGTGCTGCAACCAATGGCAGCTAATTCTTCCAAGTTGCTTCACGTTATGATCTTGTATTTGAAAGCCCTATTTGAATATTGTGGCCAGCCGTCTTTGATGGTGCGGTACGGGATAGGTAAGGTGCGGGATAGCGCCAGACGGAGGTCTGTCCGCCACAGACAAACACCAAATCAAAGATGTCTGGACCCTGGCTAGCGCCAGATGTTACTAAAGTAACGTCTTCTGCATAGCTACGGGAATTAAAATTATGTTATTATCTTGTTACAGTCGTGGACATTTGCTTCATAACTCATTTCCAAGTAATTTCCCCGGGGTAACCCTTTGGAACGTGGAGTATTCGTCCATATCTAGTTGCTGCCAACAGCGATAATTGCTGTGCCATTGTGATCACGTCTGCCAGTAATGACTGTTATTTGTTTGTGTCCTGTCTGATTTTTCAATTGCAGTTGTTACATGCGCTACTCCATTAGCGCCTACATTTGGCAATTTCTCTCTACCGGCTGGTGTATCAAGCTTTGTCTATAACACACTGGGAACATTTGTCTGCAATCCCGGCCATCGCCTTGTCGGCCATGCCACCACACAGTGTTTAGCCCATGGTGATGTCAGCAGCACACCGCCCGTGTGCCAGAACATCAATGAGTGTACAAATACCACATTGCATACATGCGATCAAAATGCGTTGTGTAGTGATGTGATTGGAACATTCAACTGCAAGTGTATGGTTGGATACATTGGCGATGGCCAAGCTGGAAATTGCCACAGTTAGTACCAATAGTAAAGTCAGTGGATATTTCCACTTGATGATGGTGTGCAGTGTTTGCAAACCAAACCATTTCCTGTTTTCTTGTGTGGTGTTGAAAGCTGGTCAGAATTCCTTTTTGTGTTTGTTCTTTTTTTGCCGCATTGCCGCCTTGCCATAGCTACGGGAATTAAAGTTATGTTATTATCTTGTTACATTTGTGTACATTTGCTTCATAACTCGTTTCCAAGTGATTTCCCTGGGGTAACCCTTTCGAACGCTGGAGTATTCGTTCATCTCCAGTTGCTGCCAACAGCGATAATTGCTGTGCCATTGTGATCACGTGTGCCAGTAATGACTGTTATTTTGTTTGTGTCTTGTCTGATTTTTCAATTGCAGTTGTTACATGCGCTACTCCATTAACGCCTACATTTGGCAATTTCTCTCTACCGGCTGGTGTATCAAGCTTTGTCTATAACACACTGGGAACATTTGTCTGCAATCCCGGCCATCGCCTTGTCGGCCATGCCACCACACAGTGCTTAGCCCATGGTGATGTCAGCAGCACACCGCCCATGTGCCAGAACGTCAATGAGTGTACAAATACCACATTGCATACATGCGATCAAAACGCTTTGTGTAGTGATGTGATTGGAACGTTCAGCTGCAAGTGTATGGTTGGATACACTGGCGATGGCCAAGCTGGAAACTGCCACAGTTAGTACCAATAGTAAAGTCGGTGGATATTTCCACTTGATGATGGTGTGCAGTGTTTGCAAACCAAACCATTTCCTGTTTTCTTGTGTGGTATTGAAAGCTGGTCAGAGTTCCTTTTTGTGTTTGTTCGTTCGTTGCCGCATTTTCTGCTGCTTCTGCCATAACACCCCAGAGTGTCCACTGTCCGCTGAAATGATCTGTGCAGCAGCAGTTTGCATGATTTATCTGTGCACATGTTCTGCTGGTTTCAGAATTTGGACAAGTATAGATTATACCTTAGTGTGTAGAATCAATCGACAGCAACACGGGTGTTTATAATCCCGAGAAAAGATCAAATTGTTTTCACAGCAATTGAGATCGAGGCTAATAGAGCTGTCTGATGAATTTGAATTGTTTTTGTTGTCCCTATAGTTATGACGCTGACCATGGTTACATGCAGTATGTAATCAGTTAGTAACCCCTTGCATTCTGCTTACCTACTGGTGTTCAGACATTGATGAATGTTTGCCGGCTAGCCCATGCCATGTGGATGCTAGCTGCATTGATAATGATGGCGGATACATGTGTCTGTGCAAGTCAGGTTACCACGGAAATGGAACTCAATGTCAAGGTCAGTCAGCAATTTGTAATGAGTACAGAGGTGTCGGCACAGTCAAATTGTTCGGGATGTGGAAACTCCAAAGTTATGCTCGTCACGCCAATTTCCAGAGACTAATTGTGTTTGCAGCACTTTACATGTAGCTGATAGAGGCCTGCCAATGTCATGCGTTACGGAGCGTCTTTATATTTTCCGGCTAGGTACTTGTGATGTCTACCTTCGCAGTCATGCACAAACACTCAAGGACACAGGTGGAGGTTTGGAAGGATACAATTAGATACAAGTGTGAAGAAGACAGGTAAGAACAGACAACCAGGTCAAGCCAAGCATGCACTTCAGGCGACTAGTCCAAAATGGCGCATGCTGGTTGTGACGTAATACACAGGCAAAATATATGACGTAATAGTCACGTGATAAGACATGAGCTTCATAATCACGCCTCTTCTGAGATAAAACAGTGGTCTAGCCAGGTTTATCTCTACAACTAAATGAAAGAAATCAAATACAGTGTACGAGAACGAGTAGGAACTGCACACGCAGCAGAGAACAGAGCACTAACATAGCTAATCATAATATTATGACTTAGTGGAATGCGAGGCGATGTCCAGGCGGTTAGGTGCAGTGCGAGGGCGTTGGCTGCGGCGGAGCGGTTGCGGATCAGGAGAGGCAATTTTAGCAGCAGGATTGCTAGCAGGCGGCGTGCAGGTTGGGGATGGAGGGATAACAGCAGCAGTTACGGGTCGAAGGAAGCGACGGTTGCGCCAGTAGTTGCGGCCACTGGGTACCTTGACGAGGTAGTCACGATTGTGACCGACGGCAACGATGACACCGCTGGTGTGCCACAGCTTGGACCGTGGATCCTGGAGATCAACACGACAGCCAATATGTAGCGGGGGGAGGGGATGAGCAGAATCATCGTAGTGGGCTGCAACGGCAGCAGACTGCTTGGCTGCGGCAGCGTCTACAGAGTCAGACTCAGCTTGCCATTCAGGGGCGAAGCTGGTGTGGTGAGTGATGACAAACGACGTAAGTGGCCGCCCATACAACGCTTGGGCAGGGCTCCGGCCGTGGCTGCGTGGAGTATTGCGCCACTCCAGCAAGCCACGTTGGAAGAGGTCGATGTCGAGGTTGCCATTGACAGTCGTCTTGGCGATCAGGAGCTTCATAGCTTTGACAGCCGACTCGGCATGTCCGTTGGATTGCGGAAAGTGTGGCGAAGACGTGCTGTGGTCAACTTGCCAACAGCTACAGAAATCGGCAAATCGGCGAGAAGAGAACTGAGGGCCGCCATCTGTGGTGAGAACTCTAGGAACACCAGTGTCTGCGAACCAGCGGCGGAGGGCATGGATGACGTCCAAAGACGAGGCTGTTCTGCCGAGTTTGGCAACGCAGGGCCAACCAGTGTGGCGATCTGCATAGACGAGGAACTCCCATCCTTGACAAGAGAAGAGGTCAGCACTAACGGACTAGAATGGGAGAGTGGGGCGACGATCTTCGGTAACACGGAGGGGCTCCTTGCATTGGGATGGGGCATGCAGCCGGCACATCTCACAACTGCGGACTGTGTTAGCGATGTCGTTAGAGATATTCGGCCAGAACACAATTTGGCGGGCACGACGTTGAGCACGGGTGAGACCTTGGTGTGCCGCATGCAGGTCTTGGAGGACGCGAGAACGTAGGGCACGAGGAACGACAACACGTTGGCCCTTAAGGACGAGATCACTGTCCACAGAGAGGTGCTCACGGACTGTCAAGTACGGCTTGACAGCAGGGTCGGCATTAGCCGAATTGGTCGGGAAACCATGACGAACGGCGTGCACGAGTGCTTGATAATCAGGGTCACCTCTCGCAGCTTCTAGTAGCTTGCTGAAGCGGAGGTCGACGCTACGGCCGTCATCATCTTGGCGTAGGCACGCGCGAACAGCGGGCGCACTGAGGGCTGGATTCTCGCCAATTTCTTCATCACTGTGAGGCGTGTCAACTGGATGCCGAGAGAGAGCGTTGGCAAAAGCATTGTCGGTGCCTTTGCGCCATCTGGCAACGAACTGGTACGGGCGCAGCTTCAGAGGCAAACGCTGCAATCGGGGGTTCTCGATCTGGTCAAGAGAGTACGAGTTCAGGATCGGGATTAGTGGGCGATGATCAGTACAGAGCTCAAACGGTGCACCAGACAAGAACAGGGAACACTTGTGTACGGCCCATACAGCTGCTAGCAGCTCAAGCTCGATGACTGCGTAGCGTGTTTCGGCGTCCGAGAGAAAGCGACTGCCACATTGAAGCAGGCGCCACTTGTCGTCTTGGAGTTGCCAAAGAGCGTACCCGAGGCCGTTCAGGACTGAAGCGTCTGTCTCAAGCCGGAGTGCATTGCCGTGCTGAAAGAACGAAAGCACAGATGGGGAGACGAGTTCTGCCTTTGTAGCATCGAATGCTGCAGTGTGGACCGAGTCCCAGGCAAACTCATTGGATGTTTTCAGGAGCGGTCGGAGAGGTGCCGCTAGCTCGGCGAGTCGTGGCGTGAAGATGCTGCACTGGTTGACCAGGCCGAGAAAGGAACGCAAGTCGGTGTGATTGCTGGGTGTGCTGAAGTTCCGAATGGCTGACGTCTTGGCGGGGCCCACTGTGTAGCCGTCAGAGGACACGGTGAAGCCACAGAATTCAACAGTGCTGGCAGCGAAGGTGAACTTCTTGGCGCTGAGAGTAATACCATGATCACGGGCTCTCTGCAAGACTGCACGGACGTGGACGAGGTGGTCATCGAAGTTTACATTGTGAACGGGACCATCATCAACGATTTTGAAGAAGTTTTGCAAGCCATCGAATGCAGAGTCAGTCCGACGGTTGAATTCATCACCGGCCGACACCAGGCCTTGCGGGTTGCGGCAGAATCTGTATCGGCCCCATGGGGTGATGAACGTGGTTAGGGCTTTGGCGTCCTCAGTCAGTGGGATTTGCCAATAGCCATGACGTGCGTCAAGGGTGGTGAAGTACGTGGCAGGACCCATGGCAGAGAGACATTCTCGTGCGTTGCGCATAGGGTGTGTTGGCCGTTTGACTTGGCGGTTCAGTGTCTGCAGGTCGACAGTCAACCGCTTCTCAGTTGAGCCCTTCTTGTCAACAATGACTATTGGGTGGCACCAATCAGACGGGTCGGACACAGTTCCAACGATGCCTTCAGATACCATGTCATCCAGCTGAGCTTTGACCTTCTCGCGGTAAGCATAGGCGATCGGACGGGCAGTGTACACACGGTGAGGCTTGGCATCGGGTTCAAGAACGATGTCCATCGGGGGCCCAAACATTGGTTTGAGAGTACTGTCGTCAAATACGTCGGAAAACTCCTCTAGCAAATGTGATCGGATTTTCACGAGGTCTCTCAGGCTGGGCATACGAGGAGCACTCACGCGTGCGACTTGCTGGGGCCAGCCGGGCGGCGAGAAGTTTAGGGCTCTCAATGAGGAACGTGACAGCAGTGCGTCGTCAAGACCGTCAAAAACATGGAGCACGCTGTCATGTGATTGGTCATTGACCTGGAGAGTGACACAAATCTTGCCGACAGTGACGAGCTTGTCGCCACTCGCTGTCCGGACGTCGTCAAAGTCACTGTCGAGATTCTCAACGAATCCGCCGAGTAGGGAAAGTTGCCGGATGCCGATTGCGTCGATGTCACTCCCAGTGTCCGGGATCCATTGAAGCTGCACTGGCTGTGGTTCAGTGCATAACTGTGTTGCAAGTCGAACAGTGTCGGAGCTCCTGTCCGCGCCGGACCTTGAACATGCCAATCTGAGTTTGCTTCTTACATTTCGGGCACATTGATTGGAAATGGCCAGCAACTTTGCATCCGTTGCACGATTTCCCAATGGCTGGACATGCAGACTTGGTGTGCGCGGAACGACCACAGTTTGGACATTTAACTGGTGCTTTCGGAGCAGCAGAGGACTTAGGAAAGGAGTTAGAGGCAGACTGTCGCTTCTGCTGCTGGTACGCGGACTTCCGTGCGGCGTTGACATGCGCCTGCCCAGGAATGTTGTGGGAGGTGTCAGACGCTGCTTCCTCCGCACGGCAAAGTTTGATGGCTGCATCCAGGGTCAGGTCTGGTGTGGCAAGCAACTTGTGTCGGGTTTCCTCGTTGGATATTCCGACGACAATGCGGTCACGCAGTACATCATGTGTGACTTGTTGTAGGATGGACTTGCACCCTCCGCATATTTGGCCCGAACATGTAGTGCATAGTGACAAGTCCGGAAAATCACATGCATTATATGACTCTCTCAGGGAGGTGTAAAACGCGTCAAACGGCTCAGCTCTGGACTGCTTACGATTGTAAAATGCTAGTCTGTCCAACAAAGGATTATGTAACCGTCGCACATACTTTTTGACTGCGGCGATGATAACATGAACATCGTCGTTTGCAACGATGGGGATGATACCCTCGCGGAGAAAGCGGCGGAGGTCCTCGTCAAACGCTTGACGAAGGGCGCTCACTCTGGTGTTCAAGCCATGAGAAGCAAGTTGCTGGCATGCTGAATAGTCGTCCCAGCCTTCTTCCCATGTGGCAAAATCAGCCAAAGACGCAGTGGAAAGCAACATTGGACGATCCACAGACAGCGGCTTTGGTGTTGGTGTGGATGTGGGTGTCGAGCGTGTAGACGTTGGCGCTAAACCATGTAAACCCGCGGGCTGTTGTTGTTGCTGTTGGAGACTTTTCAAAGTGTCTTGAAACAGTTTGGACAACATGCATCTGCTTTCAGGCATAAAAACCCTGTTTTACAGGTCTCAGTCCTCATTTGTTAGACATAGAGGGGACAAAGGGTAGGAGGCACAGTTCTGCGAGGAAGTGGACATTTGGATCCGCAATGGATGGTTGGTACCCCATGACCAAGCAGTCCATGGTGAGCCTGGTGCTGTGTTGCCCTTGTTGGCGGTGGCCCAGACGCACAAGGAGTCCACCCCTGTCCGCCCGTGTTTGGACTACCGGCAACTCAACAAGTTGATTGTGTCGCATCCAGGTTTGG